TAGTGTATATTGTCTGTCTCATTACACTTCATGGCGAAAACAATGATTCTGTTGAATGCTACGACAAATGAATAAAAACAAAATGCAAATATTCAAATTAAAACAGATTTAAGTTATAGGATCAATGTCGGGCTATTACCTTGTTCGAGGAATGTATCCATTAATATCCACAAAAACGAGTGATATGACATTCATCTGCAGCTGTTCCAAGTGATGTGTCTTTTAACAGTCTAATATACGAAAGAGTGATATATCGTTTCAGGTATTTCACATTGGTGTATAGTTTCATTGGTCACCCAAGATAGCACACCTGGCAACTTATTGCATTATGTATGCCATACTTCAAAAGAAAAGTAATTTAGTTAGCCAATAATGAGCAGTCAATCAATGTATTGGCGGTTAATCCTTTGAAAGAAGGACGTTTTTACACAGACACAACAGAGTGTATTCAGTATACATTAGTAAATCTACATACATAAACACTACCTTTTGACAAATCCGCTGTGCAAGATAAAAGTAATTAATCAATCAGCGTGTTATCGGTTAATCCTTTGATCGATGTTTATAACGTTGAGTATTTACTCCAGACACAAGAAATGCCAAATGGGAACCTATGTCGGGTAATCTAAGTGGTGTTACCACTAATTATACCTGTTTTAATTTCATTAACTGACCATCAATTGAATGATGACAAATAACACGTGTAGGTTTATACCACCCAACACGGGTTACAACAAGGGTGTATTAATTGCTGTATTGTATGCAATTTTAATTGCATGTGAAAACTTATGGGCCGACACTGTTTTGAGAATATGAACAAAACTTCATATAACCATTTGCTGTGTGCTAAAACTGATGTACCTATTTACCTAAGTAAATTTTCAGATTCTTTTAGCAATGGCAAAGTAGGGTGGTTTAGTTTACGGATTCAAATAAATCAAATGTCAATATTTAATACCATACGTAATAGACGTCATATTTTTACATGACATGATTAAAAATCGAGGTAAAAAAAAACACAGAAATGGGATCAATTTGGATCAGTCATTATACCATCCAAGCATTAGAAAACCTGAAAAAGCCTACACTGCTTTGATACTTTATTACAATCAGACAAGAACTACTGGGGATATTTTCAAATAACTGCATCTGATGGGCATCCACCCTTCTTAATGTCGCACTGTTTAGGTTGAAGAAATTAACCGTAACCCGTGATGAGCGAGGCTGATCAACGTTTTCACTATCACTAGCGTCTGGCTCGAACAAATAAGGCCCAGCGACACCAACCAATATCATGGAGGGGCACACCTGAAATTATCTTTACACGTTGTACCCATAAGGGGAATCGAACCTGGCTCTTCAGCTTCAGAAGGAGTGCTTATACCCCACTGCTCCCAGAAGCAGCTATATAATGTTTTCCCATGACCTAATCCTAACCCAGAGACCCTATAGAATATGCTCGGCCCAAACCTAACCCTAACCCACTACCAATGTGGAAAAACACATTCTATAGTTACACCAGAATATGTATGTTGGGCTTAAAAAAGAATGTTGTGGTTCCGATTACCTGACACAACCCTTGAATTCTGGTGCCGACCCTAGATTTTTTAAGAGGTACCCTGCCGTCATACGATTCCGTGGTACTCACGTTTCCATGGTATTTTTTAATGACATAATTTCTCGCGAGCCGCTCACCAAATCGCGCAACCTACCGATTGTTTACATATATCAGTTGATCGTCACGGCTCCGAGCAAAAAAATGTTGAGAGTTTCGTCAATTTGCGTAAGTACAGCCATCTAATATTAAAAACTTTGCACTTTTTGTGCGATCTTTACAAACATTTTCTATAAACTTCTTCAGCTTCAAAGTTTTCCAAACATCGCTCGTCTGCTAGCTGACGTAATAAATAAAAATAATCACGTGACCTAGTAGGGGAATCCTGCTCTATTTTAAGAAGTATGAAAGCCTGATAGGGTCATCTCTTAAGTTGTTTTTTTCACCATTGTAGGGCATTCCTGCGCGACGAAAATGGCAGCATCGATCTTACAGCCCTACTCAACTTCAAACTGCCTACCTAGAAGTAATTGAAAAAGGGGTTTCTGTGTATAAGGCTGCTAAGATACATTCTGTACCTGAACAAATTCTTAGGGACCGGGTGAAAGGCATCACTTCGCCAGAATGCTCGTCTTCAGGTCCAGGACCGCTATTAAGTCAAGAAGAAGAGGCTCGTCTTGTCAGTCATTTGAAACTTATGGCGTCTGTCGGATATGGCTACACCAGGGCACAAGTTATCTCCCTTGGGACGGAGTATGCTATCACTTTGCATAAAAGAACCAAGCAAGACAATAATCTGTCTTTGCAGTGGTTTTATAGCTTCATGGGCAGATGGCCAGAACTAAAACTGAGACGTCCTCGTTCACTCACACAGCTTCGAGCTACAGCAACATCAGAGGAAAATGTAGAGAAGTATTTCTCGCAGCTGGAAGAAGTCCTTGACAAGTACCAGTTAAAGTCAAGCCCAGAGATGATCTACAACGTTGACGAGAAGGGGATAAATTTAACACACTCAGCACCCCAAGTTGTTGGATCGTCTACTGAGGTTCCCATCGAGATCTGCCCTGAAAAATCGGCTACTGTAACAGTTCTTGGGTGCAGTAACGCTATCGGCCAGAAGATCCCACCCTTCTTCATTTTTCCTGGGACTCGTATGTGGGATGACTTGCTCGAAGGATCCACCGTTGGTACATCTGGAACAGTCAGTGAGAGTGGTTGGTCCAATCCCGATATTTTCCAACGTTGGATGGTTGAACACTTCTCAAGATACGCCAATATCGGAAACGAGAAGAAAGTCCTGCTAATCTATGATGGACACCGTTCACATATAACACCAGCACTCATTGATTTTGCTGTGTCAAAGGGGATTATCTTATTTGTGTTGCCACCGCACACAAGTCATGTACTTCAACCCATTGATGTTGGTTGTTTTGGACCATTTACCAAGATTTTCAGCGCCGAATGCAGGAAATATAAACGCTTTGAATTCGGAACCGTCCAATAGGTACAGCGTTTGTGGACTTGCATGCAAAGCATATGAACTCTCTCTCTCTTCATTCAACTTGCAGAGCTCATTTCGAAATGTGGGATATTTCCTTTCAATCCAGCGTCTATTGACAGATCTTTCCTCAAGCCATCGACCTATGCTAAGGAACAAGCGGAAAAACATCAGAGGAATCACACACAGACCTCGCCGATCCCGATTTCTTTGATGAACATCTTCCCGTAGTCACTCTTAAGTCTCAGAAACCACGCCGCTCCATACACAAGATCGGGCGGTCAAGCTATCACAGAGCCTGCTATATCTACACAGGTCATGTGATTCATGGAGGAATCACACACAGACCTCGCGCCGATCCCGATTTCTTTGATGAACATCTTCCGTAGTCACTCTTAAGAAGTCTCAGAAACCACGCCGGTCCATACACAAGATCGTCGGCGGTCAAGCTATCACAGAGCCTGCTATATCTACACAGGTCATGGAATATGTAAATCAGACTAAAAAGCCATCTGCGACTCATGTGAAATCTTCAGCTGCCCGAAACGAAGAAAACATCAAACAGAAGAAATCTACTGCCAGGAAAAAACAACAGAAATCAGGTCGCTCATCAGTCGCCAATAAGTCTCATTCTTCCCCGACAAGCTGCTTATATCCAGCGACGATGACCGATCTGATTCAGATGTGACTGACAGCGAAGACGAGAAGTGTTGTGTTTGTGGTAAATTTCAGCCCGAAGAATTGCGTCGTTGTCCACAAGTGGAATTCACCAAGTGGGGTCAGTGCACGTTTCGTGACTGTGAGCATTGGGTGCATCTCAAGTATTGTTGTACCACCTCGTTCCTTCGCCGTCACGACGGATTTTACTGTCCATGTCATATTGAAGAGTAATCACAGTGTAAATTGTGCAAACCTCATGAAGAATTCATTACGTATTCCATTGTTCAACAGTACATATTTGGAGAACAGGAAATTTATGCTGAAGATATATGTGACTATTGTGTTAATTCTTTAAAATTGGTGACTGTGTTACAATTTTCCAACTTCGTTTATTATTGTAAGCCTACATTAACTCTTCTGGATTGGATGTCACCAACACATGAGATTGTGGCATGTGCTGTGCGCCCGTAGTTTCATCTGTGAGGAATACCACAGAAACATATGACGTCACCGTTGTGCACATTGTGCACAATGGCCGCCTGTCGTCTGATACGGTTTACAATGAAATTCAGAATGACACTAGGGTTTTATTGACATTAAATGATACACAGGTATGTAGTTTAACACTATATTATGTTTATATGACTTGTCAATGTCAGCGATCCTACTCATTGTCGTACATTTCTTAATACCACGGAAACCCATGACGCCAGGGTATGAATAAAATTCGGATACCATTGTTTTTGCCTGGCACCAATGGACATCGTGGTCATTCTGATAGAGAAAGTTGACATGATGGCCGCAAGCTTGCTTAAATAACAATTAGACATTGATAAATGTGTTATTAGTTCATACTTTACAGTTTACTTTTTAAAAACAAAATGTAAAAAAAAAGAATTCCTACCTACCCTAAATTTAAAAGAGGTGTAATTGGAACCACATTTTTTATTTGGCCTCAGTTGTAGTCAATTTTCAATTCGCCTTTAATATTTTTTTTATGCTTAAAGGCACACACTAAGTGTCCCTGACTCAATGTACTACTCTTGGCTTGCTGACGCCGACACTAGTGACAGTGTCGCTGTTTCAGATTGATTAAATGTCAGAAACTGTTGATGTCTCTCCGACATTGTTTGCAAATTCGTGCAAAACCACGCCACCTAGCCAATGTAAAGAAATGACCACAAACATACGGGTGAATGTGCACAAAATAACTTTAAAGGCAGGTGTGAGCGGTCAATGACACTGAAATAGGGCAAGATATTAGAAGAGTAAAATGTGTTTGCTTACATGTCAAAACACGCGTTCCCAAGAGCATCTTGACGTTTGTTCGCTAGCTCGGTTGTTTGGGAAGAAAACGCCATGTCCCATCATTCCAAAGGACCAGTATTTGTATCAGTGTTCAACTTTTTAAACCCAACTGTTTACAGTTGTGTAATTACGTCCCTCTTCCTTACTTTCCATTCACTGTCAACACATATTTCATATTGTCAACACAAAACGGATATTCAAACATAGCGCACTTCCTTGTGCGCATGTCACATGATACCGGAAGTACCATGTGCTTGTTTCCAATGTAAACAATCGTTGGACTCTCGCTATGTTACAGAGCGATATCTTTCCAAGCTATGAGGGTAACCATCTGTGTTAAATATAGTCGAGATTCATTTTATTTAAGGGTAAATGTAATCAAAGAGAAAACGGAGACCATGTTTATGAAAGAAAACATATGGTCCGCATTTGTCCTTAGCTTACATTTCACTACTGCAGTAGTTAGCGAGATCTACACGTTGCGTTATGCGACTTGGCGTATTTCAAGATCAAGTTGTCATTCACCAGTTTGTTTGTTTGTTTGTTCGTGAACTACGAATGTTCCTTAAGCGCCCTGAAACCCATAACAGGAGGACATACATGGAGTCGATTTACACCCAGCTTAGATTTTACCTGTCAGTGATCCACGTCATGGGACGTTTATTAGGCAGATTTTGAATAATTATGTCCTAATGGTTTTGATATTTGCTCATGTTGTCAGCAACTGAACTGTCTTGTTCACATTCAGTTAAGCCTATTCTTAAGAATAAGGCAAACTATAGCATTTAACCACAGGGAGGCTTAGATTCTAGCTGAACTGAAAATGACATGTAATTTTCATTGACCTGTTTCCTATTCAATAACAATAATTATGTGTTACTCCGCCCTGATGGTATGGTTTATATTGCCCACTTTTTCAACCAGTGGTCCAGACACATTTTTTTAAGCTGTGAAATAAGTGACATGCTGTTGACTGGAGGTACCACTTATTATATTTCCTTTTAGAATGGACATATTCAGAAACTACAGTCTGTATTTTTTTCATAATTGTTTTTATGAAACATATTCGTGAAGATAAAATATGGAAACCCAAACAAGTGATTTTGTCATGTTTTGTATATTTCTGGTTGTTTGCTTTCCATTACACGCATGCTTATTCTGCTTCAATGTACAATATGCCCAAGAATTTCGGGATAAAAGGGTTCTTCTTTACCACGAAACAGAATGGCAAATCCATTTGAACAGAAATCACAAACACAACCATTTCTATTGATGTTTATTGAAAATGGGAATGCATAATGAAGATAATATAGAATGATATCAAAATAGGCTTAACAGGTGTACATAGTTTAAATAGTCCAAGCCAAGCATATACACATATGTATAAAGAACTGAAGCTATAATATACAACTTGAAAGTGGTCATGGTGAGTAACAATAATAATGTTTACATCATGATGGGTAATATCATGTCCAGTGTTCTATACAAACCAGGAATTCATGGGACAACAATCACTCATCAATATAGAACTTTACACAGTTCTTGCATAACTGTTCTTTACAGTTCTGTCAAGATTTTCTATGACCAAGATGTTTTCCTACGATTTTATTCATTGTCAATCATCTGTACTTGTCACTTCATTAAGCAACGTTAAGTGAGATGGGCATATATTTGATAGAATCTAAAATCATAGAAATCATGACTAGCTAGTAAACTATTTCAGCAAATAAACTGTACAAAAGCAAATCCCATCTAAAACAATATAACCCAATCTAAAACAAACAAGTGAAGCAATTATCATTCCTTATTTCATCTTACAAACCCTGCTAAAAAAGAAAGAAATGTATCACTTACCGCCATGTATCATCTGGGGATACACGGCCATGTCGTGTGGCATGTCACACCCATTCCTAACACACCCATTTCTGGATTTTTCCTGAATAGCTGTGAACCCTGTTTCTAGTAATGATGTATACAAACAATCTCTGAACTGCACAACAGTTGTTTACAGGAAGCGATAACCGGGTCTAACATGAGACTCCTGAGTTTGAGATATCAAAGTTTCAGACAAACCTCTTATACATATATATATATCAAGGTGAGGTAAACATTATCATAATAACCCTGTCAAAGATGTTTCAAGTACCTAATGAGAAGGTACCCATTATTCATAACTGGGTACCTGAGAGATGTAGTCTGATGGGACAAGTTGTCTATACAAGTTGTCTAGTTGTCTATACAAGTTGTCTATATACTAAAACAATGATTAGTCATTAGTACTATATGGTATTAATGGACAAGGGACTTTTCACTTTTCCAATATAGTCTCTAATAGTGTTACACAATAAGTTCTTAAACACGTCACAATGTCACCTTAAAAAACACCTCTTTAACCTTTACTTTGAAGAGAGGCATATATAATGATCAACTGGTAAAGGTCACATGGTTTAAATTGATATCATACCACACAAAAGAATAATTTTACACTCAAACACCCCCACTACATATTGTTTAACAGTCACAATGAAGGGTGAATTTTTTAACTTATAAATTGTAAAAGTTAGTTCAATGAAGATCTCAGATCTATACAGAAATATGTATTGGCATAGCAACCCTGTTGTCAGGTATTGGGATTCCGTTTTATCGCAGAATACACACAAAACAAGAAATGTAACAAAATAATTACCTCCTGTTACCATCATACATTTACTGTATTCAACAGTACATGGGAATAATTATTAACATATACTATAAACATTCCCTGGGCTCTGGAAAGACAATTTACACTGCTTGATCATAACAATACGGCAATAAAAAAACAAATCGTAGCAAATATACAGAGAAAGGTATATACATAGGAAATATTCACTTATATGAATCATATATTTTGTACAAAATAAATTTATATCTACTAATTATAATCATAATACACGGTGTATAGGAAACAAAATAACATTTACAGATGACTGTAAACACTACACAATTTTATTGCTGTCATTTCTGAGGCTAAATGCATCAGACTGGTAGTACAGGCAAACATGCACACAATCAGCTGTATATTATTATTTGCTTGGTAGATCATATTTCCGCTTGACTTCAGAATGAATACAGACAGGTACATGTTTGTATATGAGTACTAAGTGGAGAAACCATGGTGGATGTAGCTGAGATTGTACATGCATTGAACACATGAATAATTCATGTCAATGTGACAAGAAACCTATTTCATAATCTACAGTATGATTGTCTCTCCTTGTTCATGCCCACTGGAAATGGTTGATCACTTAAGATCACAAGACTTGTGATTTAACATAAAAACAAAACAATTACATTGTATAGTGATATATATAGTGATAACTGTTACAAGTTTATGAATATCCATACTTATCAAATATTAATGGTCCAGAAATGTTTACTAATATTGAAATGACCATGGTTAGGTAAGAAGGCAGAAAATTCAATATTAACATTGGATGAATCAGACCAATTTATTTTTAGCACACAGCTGATATCTTAAGGCCCAGACAGGACATTTGTATCAAAACACATACAGAATTAAAATGTTATTAATCAATATATTGACATATCTTGATACTTTTGAGTTGACATATTGACACTAAACTTGTCACTCAATAAGGGACCGTTCATAAATTATGGCTGGTGTGTGTGTGTGTGTGTGTGTGTGTGTGTGTGTGTGTGTGTGTGTGTGTGCACAAAATAAGTGACCCTCACCCTGCATGTCATGTACAAAATCAATGACTCCCCCCCTCCCCTTCCCATAATTTCTAAGCATAATTTTAAACATATTTTTATGTATAAAATTGCTCTTTCCCCACTAGCTCCCCAGAACAAAATGGGTGAGCCCCTCTTAAAATCATCATCACACTTTCTAGCCATATATTATGAATGGTCCCTAACACCTGTGTTTTAAAGCGAAGCAAAACATTTTTACACTAAAAAACACTTTGGATCTAACACTGGAAGGCACAGTCAACATGTTCAGAATTGTACATTACATGCAAACATTCACTATTGATCTCTTTAAAATATTTTCCAAAAATATGCTCATCCATATTTCAATATACACCGTGTTCAGTCATATGGGCGGAACAGACTTGTCTTGTATAAAAAAAATATCTGAAATAGGATATTTACCTTTTGTAGTGTGCAAAACAAAATATACAGAACATGACCCATCTAACATTTCAAGGCACAAAAATATGGATGGAAACGTTAAGAATATAGAAGTGATTTTCTGTAAATGGTTGTAAATATGCAGTGTTTCAGTTGAAATATAATATATATTCAACATACATACATCAGCCAGATCTATAACATCACAGACCATCTCATAACAAATACAGCTGCAAGTTATCTCCTTCCTAGCCATAAGTTATCACTTGGTCAAAGAGATCAGATAGAGTGGCTTCCCTTGAACTGACCTTCACCTGAGTTGGACTGAAGGGGATTTGACAGGCTTCTGAAGTTTCTGACGTCCAATCCTATCTATGTGACTTCTCGTCAATTTGTGTTCATATTATCTAGTGAGAACATCACCTGTTACATGTGTGTAGGATAATATTTGTAATCATCTATGTAATACTTTGGGGAACAATTCCGGTATCACCCTTTCAAGAAATTAATATTGAGATCATTTGACTTTCATCATTGTCAGATATCACACACGCACATTGTTTGTAAATATGAACAAAAAGACAAAGTCATCAATATCCCCCGCAATGGCAAAATACTCTTCATGATTTTGTCTACGAGTTATGATTATGTCAAATATTTAGGTGTGAATATAGAAAATTGGAAGGAGAGTATTGAAAGGTTTTTTAAAGTTCTGCTCCAGAAAGGAGCACTATCACCAATTTCAGGCTAAGTCAAACTTGTTGCCATGGAAACGCCAAAAATATTTTATTAAGAATTCCAAAACTACCAAAAGGCACAAGTACACTACCAGATCTATCTATGTGCCAAGTTTGGTGAAGACACATTGAACGGTTTTAGAGTTCTGCCAAAAAAGAGCACAACCAAAAGGCAAACTTGTTGCCATGGAAACGCCAAAAATATTTTATTCAGAATTCCAAAACTACCAAAAGGCACCAGTACACCACCAGATCTATCTATGTGCCAAGTTTGAAGAAATAGAACAGTTTTAGAGTTCTGCTCCGAAAAGAGCACTACCACAATTTCAGGCTAAGTCAAACTTGTTGCCATGGAAACGCCAAAAATATTTTATTCAGAATTCCAAAACTACCAAAAGGCACCAGTACACCACCAGATCTATCTATGTGCCAAGTTTGGTGAAGAAATAGTGAACGGTTTTAGAGTTCTGCTCCGGAAAAGAGCACTACCACCAATTTCAGTCTAAGTCAAACTTGTTGCCATGGAAACGCCAAAAATATTTTATTCAGAATTCCAAAACTACCAAAAGGCACAAGTACACCACCAGATCTATCTATGTGCCAAGTTTGGTGAAGAAATAGTGAACAGTTTTAGAGTTCAGCTCCGGAAAAGAGCACTACCACAATTTCAGGCTAAGTCAAACTTGTTGCCATGGAAACGCCAAAAATATTTTATTCAGAATTCCAAACTACCAAAAGGCACCAGTACACCACCAGATCTATCTATGTGCCAAGTTTGGTGAAGAAATAGTGAACAGTTTTAGAGTTCTGCTCCGAAAAAAGAGCACTACCACCAATTTCAGGCTAAGTCAAACTTGTTGCCATGGAAACGCCAAAAATATTTTATTCAGAATTCCAAAACTACCAAAAGGCACCAGTACACCACCAGATCTATCTATGTGCCAAGTTTGGTGAAGAAATATTGAACGGTTTTAGAGTTCTGCTCCGGAAAAGAGCACAACCAATTTTCAGTCTAAGTCAAACTTGTTGCCATGGAAACGCCAAAAATATTTTATTCAGAATTCCAAAACTACCAAAAGGCACAAGAACACTACCAGATCTATCTATGTGCCAAGTTTGGTGAAGAAATAGTGAACAGTTTTAGAGTTCAGCTCCGGAAAAGAGCACTACCACAATTTCAGGCTAAGTCAAACTTGTTGCCATGGAAATGCCAAAAATATTTTATTCAGAATTCCAAAACTACCAAAAGGCACCAGTACACTACCGGATCTATCTATGTGCCAAGTTTGGTGAAGAAATAGAGAACAGTTTTAGAGTTCAGCTCCGGAAAAGAGCACTACCACAATTTCAGGCTAAGTCAAACTTGTTGCCATGGAAGCGCCAAAAATATTTTATTCAGAATTCGAAAACTACAAAAAGGCACCAGTACACCACCAGATCTATCTATGTGCCAAGTTTGGTGAAGAAACATTGAACGGTTCTAGAGTTCTGCTCCGGAAAAGACAAATGTGCACGGACGGACAGACGGACGCACGGACAGAGTCCATTTTAATACCCCCCGCAAAACGCTTTGCGGGGGATAATAAACAAATTCTAGTCCTACAGTACCTCTACTTCCAAACAAACAAGATGTAACTCGAATATTCTTCCTGCACGTACTAAATCCAGCATGCAGTTATTGGTGCCTATCAGATTGGAAATCAGCACAGCAAGACATGTCTAGTTGTTCATGACTTGTTAGTCCATGTTGAAGTCTAGTGCAAGGCAGTAGTTGTTTTGTAAATGGTCCAAATACGATTTGAGCTGATACTATCTACTCAATGTGGTTCTCTGTTTGACAAGGGAGAACAAACATTTCTTAGACAGAGATTGTGACATTTCTCATTTCATGTTCATCCCCTTATCAATGTGGGACTGGGAACATATCCACCAAGGTCACTGTTGTTTATCCTCAGCTAGAGACAACTCGATACAAGACAATACCTCATCAGCCTGCAGACTAAACCATATATGTATCTTTAACATAATACTGTTCAATATCACCATGTTCTGGACATCAAGGGAACCATGGACATGGCGTGCCTGATAGATCATCACTACATCGGGGATGGCAACAGGAATATCTATTTTCAGCTGAAAACATAATATTGTGTCTTTGAATGGGGGCTTCAGAATGATCAATTTGACATAAAATCGGCTTCCACGGATCAGCGGAAAATTACCATCCCTGCTAAGTGCTATGTTAAACGGACAAGCCCACAGAGGCGTTTTAGTGTCAGAGGTCTGGATAAGTGAAATTTTCAAAGACATGGTGTAGCAATATGAACATACCATATCAAAGTAAATCTTTATAATTATACTAGGTCTTCAGCCGATGGCCAGGGGTTGACCTGGATCTCATAGTAACAGATCTCACTGAATGTTGTAGTTTATCTCATATGGTGGCAGACAATGGAGATTTCTCTTACACTCTCATAATGACTAGCACTGTTACATTTTCACAAATCTTCCCTGTCTTACAAAGGCAGGGAACATGTGGGCAAACCCTGTAGGGGAATCAAACCAGTGCTACTGACCAGTAAAGCTTGCACTCTCTCATGTGAACTAAATTTCCTGAGGCAGTACCAGCTTAACATTTCAATTCCACCCAACTCGTTACAATATGGTGATGCAACATGAATGCATACCTCAAGCCCTACTCAGAAGCAAAACACATGCACATTGTTTGTGAGTCAATGAAAATTACATTGTGAACCTAAGCTTATTTCTATCAGGTTCCAATTTGTTTCAGTTTTTTACAATGGCGAAAGATAAATTCCGTGTAGCGGTATCACAAGGGGAATAATCTGGTGGTTTCATGCACCCCTTGTTAGGTTTTATACCACTGTTATGTTCAGTCAGAATATCACATGGGGTCACATCAGGTCTGTATGGGGTATTTCTCCAGCTGTTGTCTAGCGGTAAAGGGACCTGTCCACCTGTCTGTTCTGAGCAGTGAATGAGCCTGTGTGTTGATGTGTAGTTACAGCTTCTCTACATAGTTGGCAGGGAACAGGCCATCCTTCCCCCTGAGCTTGCCATGCCACCAGCCAGCTGGGTCTGGAACACAACATGGAGTTTGTCAACACATCTCACTAGCTGACGGCTGCCAGTCATGCACCAACAACACACAGACACAGCCTAATTGATTGAAGCTTACCTCACTCATAAATGTCATTTTCTGATTGGCTGAGCCATCAATGTACCCCGCTTACAAGAGAGTAACATTTTCTATGTTACCGACTGAAAATGCCGAACTATCGGAATTCGTTTGGCACTTTGTGTTAGCAGTGTTTGGACTGTTGCTTAAACTCCAGTACACCTTTTTATGATCCCATACCTATGTTTCAAACAGTTCAAAATTAACACGGAGGTGTTCGATAAGGAAAATACGTTGTTCACTGGTCCCTCAGGGCCCTTCGGGCTCAGGGAACATAAACAAACATCGAGGGTACATCAACCAATGTCCCCCTCATGACCAGTGAACAACTTATAATGTACATATTATACTCAAGATGTAGATTATCACCTTGATCTCTAAAATAATATTGACTTCATTTTCAAACACATTTTCAGACACTCTAGATGACTTCTGCTCTCTGATCATAACTGTTTCTAGCAGAAGTTGAACTCTTATAACCTTAGAGTGCAACTTGAAATTTCAGATGTAAGAATAAGTCCATCAAAGCATAAATTTGATTTCTAACTTCTAAGAACATTGAAAACATGATGTCTAACAAAAATAATCACCTTATTTTGATTATTTGTTTAAAAGTAAATAGTGTTTGACAAGGGTCTAGGGTCCCACGTGCCCACAAGAGACAAATATAGTGCTGACATACCAGGACACAAAAGAAAGGCAAACTTTGGATTCAGATCCCAAAGGTGCATGTCTTGCCAAGGGACATAACTCTGCATAGAAAACTGTGATGCCTTACACAACAGGACAACCTTGTAAGTGAAATATTACTTCAAAACCTCTGTAGAATTCTTACCTTCTTTGACCAATTCTATGATATCTCCCTCGTTGAAGCTGAGTTCATCTGTGTCTTGAGCATCATAGGCATACAAACACTTGCATTGAGGCAGTGCAGGTTTAGGCTTCAGGTTGGGCTTGGGGCGGGGGCGGCCTCCACCAGGGTTGGGCTTGTTGGTTTTACTCTTACGTTGATTGCTGCGTAATATCCTGTAAAATGAGAAAAACAATTTGAATACCCAACTGAGCTGAGATTGAAAAGTGCACACTAATCTAGTGACCAGGAAAATAACAACATCTATCATGGTTTAAACACATATGAGCAGTTATGAACTGGAAAGTGAGTAATATGAATTCATAATTAATAGTAACATAATAATGTGTAAAGTATACAAGATGTATAAGTGAGTAGAGGGAGTTCAAATCTGCTTTAACATGATTCTCTTATTTCTACATTCGGCCATGTTCCAGCTATATGTCCACAGCTTATAAATTATCGGGACTAAACAATCCAGTGATTGACAGTATGAGCAATGCTGGGGAATGTCGAACCAAGCAATCATGTCTGACTGCATCATCAATTAAGTTGGTTGGTTGGGACCAATTCTAACCCAGATTCTTCATGGGAGCTTCGGTATATAGTCAACTCTTTATGACAAGAAGTAGGGTGCTGGAGACACACATTGAGCCTAGGGTGCTATCACATGGAAGTTTACAGGTCCATTTACCATCAGAGACCATCTCCTGCACAGCAGAGGAAATACAACTGAGGTTGGGACTCAGAGATACACATAGTACTGAAAGATCATTTCCACGCTGCTTCTTATCTATGCTTTATCATAAATGACTCTGGATTGTCACGACTAAATTCTCATTCTATGTTGAACATTGTGCCAGTAACAAGAACATGTGCAATGATGTGTTGAAACGACACAGGTGAACCTGAAACAAGAGACAACTACAGTGAGTTAGTGGTGTACATACACAACACTGAGCAGGTTGAGATGAACTAGAACATTGCTGGAACCACTTTCACTAAACATAACAGCTTGGATGAAAATATAATCTCCTTCAAGGGGACAATGTTAATCCTCTCCACCACTATTTGGTTTAAAGTTTGGTCTAATGACTGACTGACTGAGTTTAGTTTTACACCGCTTATAGCAATATTCCAGCAATATCACGGCGGGGGACACCAGAAATGGGCTTCACACATTGTGCCCATGTGGGGATTCGAACCTGGGTCTTCGGCGTGACGAGCCAACGCTTTAACCACTAGGCTACCCCACCGCCCCGTTTGGTCTAATGCCATTTTGTACAGTATTTCAGTTATACACTACAACATGCCCACTTGATGAAGGAGGAAAGTCAGAAGTGATGGTTACCACTCTGGTAACATCCAATATACATGGGTATGGTGCTGATAAATTCAGAAATATGACCAAGATCATCTGAGATTTGAACTCATGATCACTGGCTCCTGACATGTCAAAGGGACACAACTACGCATCGCCCAACGAGGTGCCTTAGACAACAGGGCTATGTGTGCCCTTCCCTCTTATTGATGTTGTATGTATAGATGCTTGTTAATGCTGCAGTCCAGCTATATTTGGATGTCCTCAAAGCATGATTGAAGGATAATCATTTGGGTACAGTAACACAATCAGCCAGGTAACAAGTCATGGAATCCTCATGGGAAGCATGCATGGGGTACTGGGGACATATCCTGCTTGGGTATCCTTCACAGGGGAAGAAAGCATGGGTATTGGGGGTACATACCAGGAATCCTTAACAGGATGATCATGCTGTATGCTACCACATCTGTATTTATACATGGTAGTCTGAAGCATACCACTAGCAGCTAACAGTATAAGCAGAGAGAGTTTGTGTCTTGAGGTGTTACCTGCCTAAGCACTACCTACAATCAGGGTGTGTGTCTGTCACCTGTCCAAGCACTACCTACAATCAGGGTGTGTGTCACCTGTCCAAGCACTACCTACAATCAGGGTGTGTGTGTCACCTGTCCAAGCACTACCTACAATCAGGGTGTGTGTCACCTGTCCAAGCACTACCTACAATCAGGGTGTGTGTCACCTGTCCAAGCACTACCTACAATCAGGGTGTGTGTCACCTGTCCAAGCACTACCTACAATCAGGGTGTGTGTCACCTGTCCAAGCACTACCTACAATCAGGGTGTGTGTCACCTGTCCAAGCACTACCTACAATCAGGGTGTGTGTCACCTGTCCAAGCACTACCTACAATCAGGGCTGGTGTTTGCTGTACTTCAATTCATGATGATTTTCACAAAAGTGCTCAATACAGCAGTCTTAATTAAGGCAGCATAAATAAAAATAACCGTGTCCAGCTATGTCACACTGTAACCACTCCACTCTAAACAGCCTTTATAACAAGCATAATGGAGGGCCCCTCAGACCTGCAATCCCCAGGTGCAATATGACCAACATGGCATCTCAATATATAACCCAAGTACAGGCCTGTATGATTAGGAAGTGTGGTTGAAGCACATGGAAAAAGAAATACAAGCACAACATCATGCATCACACCAACACCACAACACAACATTAATACCACCGTTCTACTGCAAGTGCTTGTCGTCTCACTTGCACAACTTACTCATTTTTCCTATTCTCCTGACTCAACTTAGTAGCTTGCCTTAAATGGAGAACAGTCAGGGATCAAATGTGACACATTTTTCATCATACATCCACACACAAGGTCAAGGACATGTCAAATATACAGATGTAAAATAAGTAAGATGTGCGGCAGGCTATGTTAGCATCAAACTATACAACAGTTGCCATTATGGTTTCTTCCTGGTCAGGGTCATTAAGAAATAGTTGAAATTTGGATTAGTACTGTCATACTGAGAAGATGAAACCAAAAACAAACAGTGATAATTAAAATAATTATTAATAGCTGAGCCTTTCTTGCACCCCATGCAGTGATTGATAGTGAAAACTTCAATGCCAAGAGTTGAAACTGGAGAGCACAAAGACATGCACTAACATAACAATAGCACCAAATCTCTAATCTAATCTAACCAAATCGGATGTTACAATATCGGAACCCTCTACCTATATCTCAATCCTACCTATCTACCAATATCTCACTACAATGTTTCTACTGATATCTCACTGACCCCTCTACCAATATCTCAGTATGATCCCTCTCTTGCAATACCTCAATCTGACCCCTCTACCAATATCTCAGTATGACCCCTCTCTTGCAATACCTCAATCTGACCCCTCTACCAATATCTCAGTATGATCCCTCTCTTGCAATACCTCAATCTGACCCCTCTACCAATATCTCAGTATGACCCCTCTCTTGCAATACCTCAATCTGACCCTACTACCACTATCTCAGTATGATCCCTCTCTTCAAATACCTCAATCTGACCCCTCTACCAATATCTCAGTATGAACCCTCTCTTGCAATACCTCAATCTGACCCCTCTACCAATATCTCAGTATGGTCCCTCTCTTACAATACCTCAATCTGACCCCTCTACCGATATCTCAATATGATCCCTTTCTTGAAATACGTCAATCTGACCCCTCTACCAATATCTCAGTATCAACCCTTTCTTGCAATACGTCAATCTGACCCCTCTACCAATATCTCAGTATGACCCCTCTCTTGCAATACCTCAATCTGATCCCTCTACCAAAATCTCAGTATGACCCCTCTCTTACAATACCTCAATCTCACAACTCTACCAATATCTCAGTATGATCCCTCTCTTGCAATACATCAATATGACCCCTCTACCAATATCTCAGTATGAACCCTTTCTTGCAATACCTCAATTTCACAACTCTACCAATATCTCAGTATGAACCCTCTCTTACAATACCTCAAACTGACCCCTCTACCAATACCTCAGTCTGACCTCTCTACCAGTATCTCAATCTGACCCCTCTATCAATATCTCAATCTGACCCCTCTCTTGCAATACCTCAATGTGACCCCTCTACCAATGTCTCAATCTGACCCTGTCTTGCCTCTCTACCAATACCTCAATCTGACCCCTCTTGCAATACCTCAATCTGACCCCTCTACCAATGTCTCAATCTGACCCTTCTACCAATATCTCAATCTGACCCCTCTCTTGCAATACATCAATCTGACCCCTCTATCAATATCTCAATCTGACCCCTCTCTTGCAATACCTCAATCTGACCCCTCTACCAATATCTCAATCTGACCCCTCTCTTGCAATACCTCAATCTGACCCCTCTATCAATATCTCAATCTGACCCCTCTAACAATATCTCAATCTGACCCCTCTCTACCAGAACCTGTACAGATGCCCCATGAGGTAGTTTGGTATCATAGAGCCACTCACCCAGCAATCCCGGCATCAGGCGTGGCCAGAAAGTCATTGTTGTTGTTGTTCGCCTGCTTGAGATTCTTAGCCAGATGTTGAGCCCCTTCCCGGGGCAATGATGGCGTCTTGTCCGATGAGTTGGGCCTCCGACTCAGTATCTTCTGCTGTATATCAGTGCTAGACTGACGTTTTACTGCAGCAAGGAACACATATATTGACACATCACATCAAGAACACCAAATAACCCAACAAAAACGTATTTACCAAAATACCCAAAAATGTAATTTTTGGAGTAAAATTGATATTTTATACTTATCCTGACTCATGCTCTTTTTGCTTGTCTTCTTCTTCTTGCGAACATAGTGGAACACTTGTATCTCCCTAATTGAAGCTCCCTTCAATTTAAAATCACTAATTAGTATTCACCACGAGTTACCTCCTTTCCACAAGCTGGGAACGAGGGCCACCTCCACCCATGTGCCTCACTCTCTCCCTCATATACTGAGCCCAACATTTGAATTTACAGGGAAATCCAAAGTGTTATTTGGGAGGATGGGAGGGCTGACCTCATGAGTCAGGATAAGTATAAAATATCAATTTTACTCCAAAAATTACATATTTTCCTTATCCTGACTCATGCTCTTTTGCTTGTAGCATCCTACGGAACGGAGGTGGGAATACTAATACTTTGGATTTTTAATAATTAGTGATTTGAACTGTGATGATTGTAATAACCCTATGGGAACTTCATAAAGGCACTGAACTGATGAATTCCTGCTGCTAACTTATCAGCTGCCATATAAAAGGTTATTACCATGTACTTTATTATGATAAAGTATATATAACATTAATACAATGCTTAAGACTAATAGACTTAAGCTTGTTAATATGCTAGTATAAACTCCTTAGAGTTTGTTAGCTAAAATACTTTAAGATATAACATAGTACTAAGCTTAAGATATGATTAAACTTAAGCTAATTATATAATAGCAAACTCTTTAGAGTTTGTTAGTTTATATACTTATATGATATAGATATAATGCTGAGCTTAAGATATGAATAAGCTTTAGCTATATATATAATAGCAAAAACTCTGTAGAGTTTGTTAGCTAATATATTTTTATAATATGAGTATAGTACTGTGCTTAAGCTATAATTAACTTAAGCTACATATATAATAGCCAAACTCTGTAGAGTTTGTTAGCTAATATATTTATATAATATGAGTATAGTACTGTGCTTAAGCTATAATTAACTTAAGCTACATATATAATAGCCAAACTCTGTAGAGTTTGTTAGCTAATATATATTATAATATTAGTATAGTACTGAGCTTAAGATATAATTAACTTAAGCTACATATATATAGCAAAACTCTGTAGGGTTTTGTTAGCTAATATATTTTACAATATGAGTATAGTAGTGTGCTTAAGATATAATTAACTTAAGCTACATATATAATAGCAAAACTCCAGTGAGTTTGTTAGCTAATATATTTTACAATATGAGTATAGTAGTGTGCTTAAGATATAATGAACTTAAGCTACATATATAATAGCAGAACTCCGTAGAGTTTGTTAGCTAACATATTTTACAATATGAGTATAGTATTGTGCTTAAGATATTATTAACTTAAGCTACATATATAATAGCCAAAAACTCTGTAGAGTTTATTAGCTAATATGTTTATAGTGTAACCATAGTACTAAGCTTAAGATAAGATTAGACTTAAGCTAAATGTATATAGCAAAATAAACTCCTTAGAGTTTATTAACTAATATACTTTTTATGTTAAAAACATAGTACTGAGCTTAAGTTATGATGAAACTTAAGCTATATATATATAATAACAAAACTCCGGTCGAGTTTTGTTAGCTAATACCTTTATAATGTAAACATACTGCTTAAGATATGATGAAAACTTAAGCTAATTGTATAATAGCCGAAAACAACCCTTTAGAGTTTGTTAGCTATGATATAAACCTAGTATTGAGCTTATGAAGGAAAACTTAAGCTACATATATAATAGCAAGAACTCCGTAGAGTTTGTTAGCTAATACATGTTATAATGTAACCATAAAGCTTAAAAATATGATGAAACTTAAGCTTAAATATATAATAGCAAAACCCTCTTTTAGAGTTTTGATAGCTAATATACCTATATGATATAAACATAGTACTGCGCTTAAGATATGAATAAGCTTAAGTTACATATATAATAGCTAAAACTCTGTAGAGTTTGTTTGCTAATACATGTTATAATATAACCATATTGCTTAGAAATATGATGATACTTAAGCCAAATAGCAAAAAAACTCTTTAGAGTTTGTTAGCTAATCTACTTATATGATATAAACATAGTACTAAGCTTAAGATATGAATAAGCTTAAGCTACCTATATAATAGCAAAACTCCTTAGAGTTTGTTAGCCAATATATTTTAATAATATGAGTATAGTACTATGCTTAAGGTATAATTAGCTTAAGTTACCTATATAATAGTAAAACTCCAGTAGAGTTTGTTAGCTTAATTAACTTAAGCTATGTATAAAATAGCCAAAAACTCTGTAGAGTTTGTTAGCTAATGCATTTATCATGTAACCATAGTATTACTCTTAAGATATGAATAACTTAAGGTAAATATATATAATAACAAACTCTGTAGAGTTGTTAACTTATATATTGTATGATGTAATAATCATAGTACTGTGATGATAAAAGGAACTTAAGTAAATTATATATAGCATGAAGCTATTTAGTATTGTTATAAGATAAGTAAAAATCTGTTAGATTGACTTATCTTCTCCGAGGAACTGTCAGCTGTTGTGCGAGGACCATGGGATCGAATTGGTGTATACCTGAGACGTCCTCGGTGGTGATATCTCTCAGATAATGGTTTGCAACCACCATATCGGATTTCCAGAAATAAACCCTCCATTATTTCAATCACATTTGTGTAGAACAATTCTAGAAGTTAGCTTATAATATCATGAGTATTAAGCTCATGGAGGGTCGGAATAGGTCCATCCGCGATATGCACGTTAGTATGACAGTTCTGATCCAAATGGAGATATAGTACATGAGACTTCACTCTCACGTAAGTTGATGATAGAGGAAATAATCTGTTGCATTTTTCCTCCTGTTTGGTTTGGTGGAGATAAATTTACAGTGCTCTTGCTGGCCATCTTGATAGAATCATCGTATCATGGGGTCCAAGTATGTCATCCAGAAGCGTGTTCATAAACCTCACTTGTGAGGTGTTGGAGCACTATATTCATATCCCCAGGTTGGTGAAATTTCCGTTTTATTCTCCAAACAGAAGTTTAGTAGGTTTACTAACCATCTAGTTGTGTTAGTCGCTTGATGAAATTCAGCTGTAGTCTGAAACGCTGTGAATTTAGATCCACTTGTATCTTTCGTCTAGGTAATTCGCTCTTAAGTCCTTGACGATGTAGGTGCACAACCAGGTGTGTCTGTCCTCGTTGAACTTTATGTAAATCGCTTCTGACTGCCGATCCCTCGTCTTAACTTGACAGGGGAGGTCTCTAACTTGAAGAAAGGCAGTCTAATCATGAATGTTCAGGTTAACTGGACTGTAATGAGGCTTGCTCGCTTCACTGATATATAGTTGTCACTTGTGACGTAAGTCTTGAACTGTGAACAGAGATCGACCTCTGTGTAGGTCGTTGTCCCTCATGGGTCCAATCAGAACAAGGCATTTTGATTCTGTATAAATACCCGCTGTGATGTCACCGTGTAGCGGAAAAAACCCACCTTGAATAAATTCTTGTCGCCGTTGATATTAGCATAAACGCCGGTCTTCACCGTAGCTTCCCGGTTATCCGAGTGACCACGCGTTTCGAGGGTTAATGGTAACCGCTGAAACCTCCTAGCAAATATCTCGCTCTGTAATTTTATGCTGGGTAGGTTATTTTCCTGGTTGTCGTGAAAATAATTTCAGTTTTGAATATAATTCCGACTTCCCCTTATATATAAGGGTATAAACAACTTGCAAGTTGTGAGCTTGTAGACTGTATACATGAATGTATCGTCATAATTGTAGAATTAACGTTGAACTTGTTGTACATATTTCTTCTCAGAAACTTTGATTATTAAGAGTTATACTCGCTGTAACAAGGCTGCTGTTCAATTTCGATATTGAATTGTCTGCAGATATGCGTAATGGTCACGCATGTAGATAATCGTGATCGTCGTCCGAGATTGTATATTAGCAATTTATACGGAATAGTTGATTTCTGTGAAGATCTATGAAATGTCGTTGACTAATAATACAGCGGCGTTCTGTGTTGTAAATAGCCTAAGCAATTATCTTCGGCGTAGGCTTATAGACGGCATCTGGCATACAGTTGATAATCAACTTATGCGACGTCTTGAACGGACTGACGAGTAGCTATATATGACGAAAGTGGCTAGTATATGGAAACCTTGGAGGAGACTTCCTCGGTGAACGCCGAGACTTCGCGGTTCTCGAAGTATCCCTTCTAGATCTTCTGGGTGAAGTAGACTTGGAGCCACTTAGCCTTCGCGACCATCGCGAAGGTGTCGAATCAAAGCCCGATTAGTATATATATATATATATATAAATATATATATGAGCTTTGCTTCGCGTGAACAGCCTCTGTGTTTAACAGGATGTGGGATCGTGGCGCTTGCCTAAGTAGGGCTGCATGGATCATCTTATCATATTCAGAAGTCGTGTTACTAAGTCTGGTGATAAGTGTCTAATTGATCGTTCTAGATCTATTTAGGCCAGCTTAACATACGCCTCGTCCATGGATTCAACAGAACCAATATACGATTGTAGTTCTTATACTTGATATCGATGATCAACTTGTCTATGGGTTGATCTTCGGGAGACTTGTGAGGGGAACGTTGATAGTTTCTCTGCTAAGCTCTTGTATAGTCCCTCGATGTCCTTCTAGATGATGATGATCTGGATTCAGGTGTCCTTTCAAGCGCATGCCTTCGCGAAGCTTCCTCTGCGTCGGTCGGGGAACGACGATATGACCTTCAGCGAAGGCTTCCGTGATGTCTGATGGTCCGAGTCCACATCTAGGGATGAAACCGCATAAGGTGATGATCTATCCTGCCTGTACATCTAGGTTCTTCTAGGTTCTTTCCGCCTTCGAAGGCTGTACATCTAGGTCCTTTCCGCCTTCGCGAAGGCCTTCGCGAAGAGCTGTACATCTAGGTCCTTCGTCAAGGTGGTCCGTGGACTTCCTTCGCTAAGGTGACATCGTCTGGCTGCTCTACGTTGACGGGGGTGCCTCTGGGGTGCTGTCTACGTTGGAGCCTTCGCGAAAACTTCGGACCCTGCTACCGCAGATATTGGTCCTCCATGATGTTCATAATTTGTCGCATCATGTCTTCTGGGATGGTCTGCGGCGAGGTCGCCGGTGCTTTATCTGCGGTGTTAATGGAGGGTCCACGGAAAATCGTCCGACATCAGTGTAGAGGCATCAGGCTGCATGGTGATCTCTGCTGATGTCGTTATTAGCTGTCACCGGTGCGTTTCTTGTGGCGACGTCGGGATGATGATCAGCTGATCATCGTAGAGTCCAGGTCATCGGTTGGAACAATCTCGGTTGAGAAAGTCCTAGTAGACTTCGTTGATTTTCCCTCAGAGGTCGGCTGCTGCCCTGGGTGTGCAACGCCTGCGTTGAGTGTTGGTAATGATGGGACCCTCAGGACGATCATCGCATATCTGCGTTGGTACATCAGGCTGCATGCTGATCTGTGCCGACATCGGTCAATCTTTGATGTACAACCGGTATGATGACCGGCTGATCATCATACAGGCCCAAACCCGATGGGAGCGGTCTCGGTTGTTGAGATGTAGTAGAAAACCCTCTAGTCTTCTGCTGCGGCGATGGGATGTCTTGGGAAGCAGGATGCTTCTTGGAGATGGCGGACTCACGTCCACACACCTCTCCACCACTCTAGCGGAACACCACATCGGAGGGAGAGTCGGCCAACAGCAGTAGACTGGCGAGGGTTCCGTGTATCAGTCATACTAGACTCTGCATCACGACCTATCTGCTGTGCGTGCCAAGCGCCAAAGTAAATATTAATAAAAGGTAGAATTGGATAAATTAGTACCGCAACTGCAGTGTGAATATAATAAACATGGGGCCGTTACATCATATTAAAGGCGGATCAGCAGCAGCATAAAAACGTAATCTGCAATAGTACAGAATTTTCATCAACGTAATCCACTGGAAACAAACACGGGCCCGTGAATAAACTGTAGAAAAAGCGACTAAATATCAATATATAATCGTTGAAGGATACTAGCTAAACCTCTATAGATGTCTATACGAGGTAACTAACTAAATATAAATCAAAGGATATAGTGTGTCGGGAGACACAGGCGCTCTCACGTCCAGCTCACTGGGCGAAGAAGGAGAGAGTGAGGCACATGGGTGGAGGTGGCGCCCTCGTTCCCGCGCTTGTGGAAAGGAGGTAACTCGTGGTGAATACTAATTAGTGATTTTAAATTGAAGGGAGCTTCAATTAGGGAGATACAAGTGTTCCACTATGTTCGCAAGAAGAAGAAGACAAGCAAAAAGAGCATGAGTCAGGATAAGGAAAAATAATGACCTTTCAGATCCTAGTGCTTCTCAATCTGTTCCCTATGAACCATCTGTATTAATTTGATCAAAGATACTAAAAGAAAACAAACTACATGATACATTTCTTCTTGAAACAAATCAATAATATCATGAGTATCCACTATTTCTTAGCAACAATATCTGTAGCATACAGCTAGGCAGTTTGGATTAACAGATGAAACATTAAAGTATCCTGTTTCTCCAGCTTACCTTGACTTCTAGATGGTGGCGTAGATGTAGGTGGTGGCGGGGCTGGCCCTGAGGGCATACGCGGAGCAGGTCTACCAGGGGCAGGGCCTCGTCGCGATGCAACACCTGAAGGTGGAGGAATGTGGGAGGGGGCAGGGCGCCTTGGGTTGCCGTTACTCACGTGCTTCCTACCAGGGCCTGAAAGTCAACATCATGCATGTACAGCACAAGGCACAAGTACATCAGTTAATGTCTTTAGGTAAGATGTGGCCAGGGCCTAGATTTTTGAAGCTCTCTTAGCGCCAAGATAGTCGTAAGTGCCATACATTAACGTTAACTTACGACTATCTTAGCTAAAAGAGCTTCGGAAATATAGGCCCAGGGCCTTGAAGCACCAAACTTCCCCTCTCAGGCACACTTACTCACTACATCACTGAAGCAGTCATGTGCTAAAGTTTATGACTTTTGCGTGAACTTTGTCTTCTATCAATCCTTTGAAATTGTTTATAATTTGATGCCAACAGACGAACACAAGTAGACAGCACTTCAAAAGAAAAACAACCATGTGAAATTTCTACGGGAAACAAGTTTCAAAGCTGATAGTTTACAATTAATTTAGTCTCAGTAATGCAAGTACAGTTCGAAATGATTCAAATATTTCACAAACTCTTGTACTGCACCGAAAGATTTAATAACCAAATCCTACTGCGTTAAGTTCAGGACAAAATCATGTCTGTAACAGTTTTCCTAATCCCAAATAATGAAATCTCATAAAAGCTTCTGATGAGTTTAGGAATCTGGATGTCAAGCCAACTACCCCTATTCACTTACGAGAATCACGAGGAAGTCCCTGTCCTATGCTGACTGTGAGCACCTTGGACGATGGCTTGAGAACAGCTTCATCTCCTGACCCACGAACAAACCGAACAGATCGAGTTCCTCCTCCACCCCAGCCTTCTTTCTTCACAGGAAACTCCAAGCTACAACAATACAAGATGGCATAACGTGACTATACAGAAGCTACAACAATACAACCTTGTTCCAGCAATGTGACAGTGGGGGACACCAGAAATGGACAGAGATCATAATCCAAAGCAAGGAAAGTTATGTATCCTTGAGAGCGTCATGAAGGAAAGTGTTAGACATTTGAGATGGGAACTAATAAAATCATTCCAAAGAGTAGCTTTTTTTGACAATCAATTATATAAACTAAATTAAATCATGAATCTGTAAAAGGACTTCCAAGTTTAACTGTTTTAGACCAAAGGATATCCACATTATTACTCCAGGCAATGCATCAATGTTCACTTGATTTTGATTCTCAGCTCCTTGGGGAGTAAACAACCCAAACAGCCTGTGAAGCCCAAGATGGTTACCATCTAATCCTACTGGATACCCATTCATTGCCTATTTCAAATAGTGAGTGAGAGAGTTTTACGCTGCTTTTAGCAATATTTCAGCAACATCACAGCGGGTGACACCAGAAATGTACCCATGTGGGAATCAACCTGGGTTTTCGGCATGTTAAGTGAACATTTTAACCACTAGGCTACCCCACTGCCCCCATAAATAAGTCACTTGCCTCTGGAGACACAACATGTTATTGTATGTGACCAAAATGAAGCCAGAGAAACTCCTTGGAATCAAGCTACAAATACAGGTAACCATCTTACTACAATCCACAACCAACGTGAGTGAGTGAGTGAGTGAGTACGGTTTTACACAGCTTTAAGCAATACTGTAGCTGGGGACACAAGAAATGGGCTTCACACATTGTACCATGTGGGGATTAGAACCTGAGTATTAAGTGTGAGGAATGGACGTTTTAACCACTAGGCTACCCCCACAAGCAATGTTGCTTAACTTCGCCTGACTAGTTATCTGGGCAACATATACAGTGAGTGAGTTAAAATTTAACGTCACAATTTTATACATAGTAATTAATGGTAAATTGTAAAAACCTGTCAACGAAGGACAGTAAAATAACTAGATTATCACAGAATTTAAATTTAAAAATTAAATCTAAAACAGTTTAACTATAGATGACAATACAAGGTAAAAACAGGCTATATATTGCCAACAACTGAAGGTAGATCACCATACTAGGGACCATGGGGACTTACAGTACATTTGCTTCCTGCATGGACCCTAGCTGTATTTACACCATCCCTTCAGCTATTAGCAATTTTAGATAATCTAGCCACAAATTAAACGAACATATAATCTAAGTTACTAATCTAAACTACATATCATTAAAATACACATCTATCTACAGAACATATTAATCAAAATTCATTACCGGTAATTAAATCAATTTCTTTTAACAAACCAAGAATTAAATGAAAATGAACAGTAGTAAAAAGATCCTCAACACTTTTAACAGTGAAATACTTATTCCTTATCATGGAGAATTCAACACAGTCAAGCAGGACATGCTTGACCGTGGTTCTCTCATAACAAGGGATACAAAAGGAACAATTACATTTATTGTTAGTAATTGTTAGTAAACTTACCTCTGGATTATGGTTGCCTTATTCTGTGGTTTCCACAGACACATACAGAATGAAATGAAAATTTTAACACTAAGTCATAGCTATCCCTTGTGGTATGCCCTTCCAACTGACAGAGTTACCTCCCCCTGACCTAGATGTCACTGTATAGTAGTTTGAAAATCCTCACAAATTTTATGAATACAGTTTACAAAAAAACACTTATCTTCTAGAGGAAAGGAGGGAGGAAGGTGAAGTTTATACCCCATAATCCAGAGGTAGAGTTTACTAACAATTACTAACAATAAAATGTAATTGTTCCTAATTGAGGCGCAAACATTCCCTCTGGATTATGGTTGCCCTGAATCCCACATACGGATGGAGGGCTATCCCTAGAAGAATAGTCCTGAAGCATACCATACCACTAGTGAGTTATTCTCCATGATCAAAATCCTCTAAGGATAACTATGACTTAGTAGTAAATAATTCACTGGTGAAATATAATATTGGATCATTGTCCACTGGACTTCCGTCAAATGTTGAGTAGTCTCTAATTATCAATCGAATTATACTACTCTTCAGATGAATTAATATTGATAATTTCCAATTGACAACTTCCCGAATTCTGTCATCTCATGACGTAACTTCCCATTTATGGCGCCACTTCGGTCAATATTAGGTCTATGACGTCACTTCGGGTCTATGACGTCACTTCGGTTTATGGCGTCACTTCCGGTTGATTCTCCCAATCCTTAAGATTAATTCCGTAATAATTAGAGACTACTCCTTTCAATACTCAACCACCACCTGAGTTCGGTTAGTATCTATAATAGGGATAATCGTAACTGTGACCTACCTGATAATACTTCTGTCTGTCTCTATCTTCTCTCCATCATCGTATAATCCAGGTGTGTAACATGCTTGACACATGATCCAATCCCTGCTACCCTTTTAATAGGTACTAGGGAGGAGGAAAGGTGTTGTGCAGCTACTAACGGACCCAGGGACTTAAGGCCTTCCATTGAAGAGGCTACATCTCTTAAATAAAAATTTATAAATGTGTTTGATGACTTCCATTGACAACTAGCCACCACTGTTCAACTGAAACTGAACCCCATGCCGCTACTGTTGATGCTAATGCCCTAATCTCATGTGGCGAGAATCTAACATTAACTGATTCTTGATCCAAGTCTCCATAAGCATAGGCGATTGTCTTCCTGAGCCATGAAGAAATTGTATTCTCAGATATGTCCTCAGTATTAACATTTGTTTTACAGGAGAGGAAGAGATGACGACGATTCCGCCTAAAACTAGATGTGCGTGTATATACCATCTGAGAGCTCGGATCGACAAAGTAGTCTTGATCTGTCAGATCTAGAGGCAGGGCAGGCAGAGCTGGTATTCTGTAGACTCTGTGTCCCAACAAACCATGAGACGTCGACTGATTCTTGGCTGTAAATTCAGGCACTGTCCTACAAGTCATCATCTTATACCCTTCCGAATGCAATAGATTTAAAGTCAATAGCGTGCAGTTCTGACACTCTTGAAGCCGTGTAGCAAAAGCCAGTAGAAAAGCAGTTTTAAAACTCAAGTATTTTAAGGAAGTGTCTTGCATAGGTTCAAACGAGACTTCTGTAGAGCCTGTAGTACCAAACATAGATCCCACTTAGGGAAATAATGACGCGGCGATGACACATCCTTGATCTGGAAAGATCTAATAATCCTGTGTAAAGAATGATCAGATCCTACAGATAGTCCCTGTAAGTCCATGACTGAAGCAATCGCTGATCTATAGCCTTCAATAGTATTGTGTTTAATCTTTTAACCATCCTGAGATATATAAAGAAAATCTGCTATGATAGGTATGGTGACTGGAATATTGAGTAGTCGTTGCTCTCTTCTCCACTGGATGAAGACATTCCACTTGGTGTCATACAGTGCTGCCGCTTGAAGGTCTGATAGACTTCGGAGATAGCGAAATTGCTTGTTCATTGAAACCCCTGCTCCTTGAGGGAACTATAGATAGTCTCCATGCACGTGAAGAGCTAGTAGGTTTACATTTTGTGGTATCTGTCCGACTTTGGCTGACTGAAGAAGATTTTCCCAACAAGGCAGTCGTAAGGGTTTGTCCGTCAATAATTGAAGAAGGTCCGTGAACCATGTTCTGGCAATTACGGCCATGCTGGAGCTACCAGATAAACTACACAGTTGTGTTGGGCTTATCTTGGCTAGTACTTCCGGTATCAATTTGAGCGGGAGGAAAAGCATATGCTATCAGATTTTCCCATGAGATTGACAGGGCATCCACTGCCCAGGCTGTCGGATCGAACAGGACTCACAAATGTAGGTAGACGATTGTTCCTTGCTGTCGCGAAGAGATCTATGGATGGTGTTTCCCATTTCTCCTTGATGAGTTTGAAAGCCTCCATATTCAAAGTCCATTCTGTTGATATCACTCTGTCCTGTCTGGAGAGAGTCTGCCAAAAATATTCACCTTTCGGGATGTGGCGAGCTTTTATATGACTTTTCATGGAATCTGCTATTTTGAAAAGTTCCTTCGTAATCTGTAGTAGAGCGATGAGATTTGGTTCCTTCCTGTTTGTTTATATAGGCTACTACTGTGCTGTTGTCTGTCACTAACATAATGTTCTTCTGATGCAGGTTCCAAGACCAATGAGACAGAGCTTTTACCAGCTTAACATCTCCAGACAGTTGATATGGAGATTGCTTTCCTGTTGAGACCACAGCCCCTGAACTTGATGTTACGTTGACATGGCTATCCCGAAGTTTGAGGTCCGCTGATATAGAGTGACGTCTGGAGGAGGAAGACAAAATGTACTCCTGGAAGCACGTTGCTGTCCACCGTCCACCACAAAAATTCCTGACCGAATCATGAAGGAGGAGATACCATAGTTTCTAAGTCCAGATCCCCTGAACCCATTGATCCATATTTGCGGTTCGGTTAAGATGAATCCTGCCCCTCATCGTGAAATCTTGGATAGACGTAAAGAGATCCCAGCAGGGACATCCATGTCCTAATTGATGGCCTTTGCTTGCTAACAGATTGAAAATCTTGGTCGGATCTTGTACCAACGATCCTGAGGTGTAAAAATTACCGTGCCGTTTTGGCATCTAGGATGGCTCCCAGATACTTGATTTTTGATGTGGGGACTAGTTCTGACTTGACCGGGTGTACAACAAGGCCTAGATGTGTGAACACGTGGAGTATAAACTTGGTCTGTTTTAAAAGAGTCTGAGTAATTATATTCCGTGCAGGAAATCGTCCAAGTAACCCGTGGATAGCTATCTGGCGATGATGTAGGAACGCCTAAAATGGGATTGATGATCACCGTGAACAGCCAAGGAGCTAGAGAAATTCGAAGGTAGAACACGGAATTGAAATCTCCGTCTGTTTACCCATGAAAACGAAGGTACTTCTGAGACCAAGGATGTATTGGTACATGAAGATAAAGCGTCCTTCAGGTCTATGCTGATGAATTTGGAATTTGGTTGGATAAGAGTTCTCAAATTGGTCAGGGATTCCATCTTGAATTTGGGAGGTTTCCTTAAATATTCCTTGTTTAACACTTTCAAGTCTATGATCATCCTCTTCACCTCCGTGTCTTTCTTGGGAACTAGAAATACGGGGAGTAGAACCCGCATGACTGGTCTGATGGTGGAATCTCCACTATGGCCTGCTTGTCTAACAGTTGTTGAATGGCCGTTACTGCTCCCGCTAGAGGCCATCCCCTTGCAGGAAAAACGTCTCCCTACCGGGCTGGTAGGTTACTGGAGGTAGACTCTCCCATGGTAGCATGTAACCTTTCTCTATGACTGATAGAATCCAGCTGTCCGAGGTGATCTCGCGTCCAATTCTCCACATATTGTGCTAGCCGAACCCCTACGGGAGATTGGGATACCGGTAGAATAAATTCGAAGTCTGTTTCCAAATCGAGGGGGCATTTCCAAATCGTAAGGCTGAGTAAACTGGACTATTTGATTGGAGTCAAAACTTCCTAGATCCCGCTTCTGGTGCCACGAAAAACCTGGTGCCTCTACCCCTGCCCCTAGAGGATGAGTAGCCCGAGTTGAAGATGGTGCTGGCGAGGAGAAATTCTGACCTAGAGTCTCCTGCCCTGTCAAATGCTGAGCGTTGCAGTGGCTCCTGGCGTCTGTGAGAAGGTTGGCGGGAAATAGTAGCAGATACATCCCTCCTCGGTCTGGACTGAGGTTTATTCCTGCTTTGTGACAGTAAAGCTGAAGCCAATCTCTGATTCAGATTACGTGATGTAAAGGCATCCTTAACTTGAATAGCCTGACCACATTGTCCATGAAAAGAGATTCTGAGTCCAAGGGCTGTTGAAATAAAACATCTTTAGCTGTCTCTGGTAGACTTCTAATTGAATCTAACTTGTGAAGTCTCTCCATGGCTGTTAAGCGTCCAAGTGTACACAGCTGATTGTGAGAGTTCGTCGGCTATAGATTGATATACCACATCTAGGAATGAGTGCGCCATGGCTACTTCTTCGGCTGACATGGATACTAATGTGTCCTTCTTTACTCCTTCGTAATCTTGGAATAATGGTGGTAATAATGCTCGGACTCCCGCAGCAAACCAGTTGGTATAGGATAGTATGTCCAAGGATGAACGGGCGGCCCCATCCATGTCCTTGAGATCCTTGGATGAACAGGAAAATGGAAAATCCCTGGCAGCTCTAGCATCCTGTAGCTGTGCGAAATCCTTGTCCATATCACGGAGCATAAAGTGGAATCAGTCTATTGTGAATAGCATACACTGGCTTTTGAATAATCTTGGGTAATGCATTAAGTGAAGTTAAGCCTTGGAGAGGTTCAAATTGTAAGAATCCAACATGACTTAAGTGCCGATGAATGAGGAAGAGATAGCTTGGGAACCCTTTCCGTGGCAGACATCCTGACGATCCCAGCTCCACTGGTAACTCCCGTTCGGCTCCTCAGGCTGTGGCGGGACCGTGCTTGGATAAAGTCCATGGATTAATTCAACCTTTTCCCTAAGAGACCATCCAGGAACAAAATCTTCGGCCGTATCCATAGGCTGGACTGTCAATAATCCCTCCTTCATAACGTAATTCTGGTTGAGAGAGAGGATAAATAGAAGTAGCTTCAGAATCCGAGAGGTCCGGTACAAGCGGTAAAAACGGTGGCTTATCAATGTCAAAATTATCCATGGCTCCCCGTGGAAATCCCGGCTTTGGCACGTGGCTACTGGACTGCTGGTCCTGGATACCGCTAACCCCGTGGCAGCCGTGGCTGGATTGATTAAACCCAAGGTGGGAGGCGCAAGCGAGGGGCATGGAGTCAGTCCCGCTAGGATATGACTGCAGCACATTCCCGCGTGGGATAAGGTAGCAGGCTTTGAGATGACTGGGATCAAGCGTGACAGCCTTTCTCCCAGGGACAAGGGACCGCGGCTTGTTTTGCCTGGAGCGCCAATTAAAGCCTGCCTGGGGTCAGCCAGGTTGACCCGTCCCTGTCACATGAAGCCCGTGGCTTCTGCCCTGTGGGGAACGGCCTTCTGATCGGTTAAGTAAGGTGATACCGGCTTTCCCAGGTAGAGCACCCCGAGTTTCACAGAAACTGACTCTTGCCCCTCGCTCTTGCCATCGTCAACCCAGTCAGTCGACCACCGGTCGTCTTGCCGTACATAATGCCATCATGAAACAGATTTTGTAATGAATTCATCTTGGTCTCATTTCTCATTTCCATATCATACATGGACTGACTAACTGAGGCTTGCAACTCTGATTTAAGCGATGCAAATAATTCGAGATAGCAGAAATGTCCAAATGGGATGCATCCGATTTAGATCTAGATCTAGATTTGGATTTTGATTCAGATCTCTGTGAAGATGGCGGGGGATCCCGGCCGGATTTTTACTTTTGCTAGCCTCCGACGACGGGAGCATTTACGTTTCTTAGTCTGAGATCTTGCAGAATCCATACTTAACCACTCAACCTCTGATAACTCTGAACACAGAAGGCAGCGATCTTGCAGGGTACAATGATTACCAGTAAAACAAGAAATGCAGAGAGAATGGGGTCTAAATCCGACATGAACTTCTGACATTGCACGACTTATTCTTAGCCATAGCTTAAAAGTTAGACAAAGGAAAAGAGGCGGAAAATATATATCAAGTACAAGCGTAAAATAATATAAAATCTGATGTCCAAAGGACGAATGTCGACAACACTAACCTATATAGGGATGGATCAGTGTAGAAAACAAGCTGATAAAGTCAATTTCTCACTCCACTCTATACACGTGTACAGTGTATACCATACAGAAAATTTGTGAGGATTTTCAAACTACTATACAGTGACATCTAGGTCAGGGGGAGGTAACTCTGTCAGTTGGAAGGGCATACCACAAGGGATAGCTATGACTTAGTGTTAAAATTTTCATTTCATTCTGTATGTGTCTGTGGAAACCACAGAATAAGGCAACCATAATCCAGAGGGAATGTTTACGCCTCAATTACAGCGGATCTTCACCTTTTAACAGATATTTGTGAGTATAAGGCGTATGGCCAATGCGACATCGTCGCATAATGACCTCCTCAAATCTGGACTGACAACCCAAGTAGGTGTAACCAATATAAGGTTTTATTTGATGTAATTTATTGATACCTATCTGGGTGTCCCACTTCTTCTGCATCAAATCACGGATGTAGGTTCTAATGCTAGCTTTGTAATCAGAGAATGGTATAAGAAGTGGTGTCACAGATTTATTGAGTGCTGCCTTGGCAGCAACAACATACAAAGAACCTCACACCATCCAAATCCTACATCCCATCAATTATGTTTAATGACCGACTCACCTGTCATTGAACTGGGGCTGAAGGGTTTTGCCAGTTTTGTCTTTGTATCGCTTGGTGAGAACGGTGAGAAACTCGGTCTTGAACATGGACTGTAACAGGCTGCTGTAGTCACCCTGGATGTGGAGGATGAAGAAGTCGTCCTGCATGGTGCTGCAAGTGAACAACACATCAACATATCACAAATGCAGGACATTTACCATACAACCATTTACCAGAACCACAGATACGGTGCTCACAAACCATATATCATATCAAGTTAATCAGGGATTCAAACCTACTAACATAAGGAAACTCTAGCCTTCTTAGGGATGCATCTATACATACAAACCAGGAACCTTGTACCGCTGTGCCACTCCCTCAACACAGTACATTTTAAAGATGACATAGTTCAATGGTTTTCCCTGGAGAATTTAGTCACTAACTGAGGTCCTTATTGTTCTATCAGTCCAATATTGTAAGATACCAATTAAATATAGCTGTTATGATACATATTCCTGCTAACAGATCACTTAGCTTTCCTGTATCTGTGACAATAGACAGTGTAGGAAACAACTGGCAGCCCAAGCACCCAAGATGGGTTAACCCTGGGGAGGGCTGGCAAGAAATATATCTTACCAGCCTGGGCTCATACTTATGGAAGATTTACAGTTACACATAACACATTCTTGCTACAATGGCATAATATTGATAACTCTAGTTTTGAGACTATTGTTTACTTGTTTCAAAGCACAGTGATGAAACTGTTTCTTTTGTTGGGCATTTCAATAATTTTGAAAGCAAAGATACTTAATAGGTTTTTGTAGTATTGCTGAGCTGAAATGTGAAATTAAAGTTGGTCTGGCAACCTTTGGGAAGGGCTGGTAAGTTTTCAGTGTCTGGTAGAATTTTCTGTTAAGTTTCCTACTCTGCAATAAATACTGTCTATAGAAAGAGATTAGTTAAACAAAAATAATCTATTATTCTCAAAACAATGTAGAATGTAAGTTTGCCCTTCCTTCCACATAATGCAACTAACACCCCAAAATTACACAGATGTCCTTCGTACCTGAGAGACACACCCGAGATTGCATCTATTGGTAGTTCCCGCTTCTTCACCAACACCTTCTTCCCCTTGTCTGGCCCCTTCTTCACCTGAAGCACAGTTAGTCAGTGAGTGAGTGAGTTGGTTTAATGCTGCTATTACTGGTATTAGTTAAATCAGAGCATGTTGGGTTTATAGAAAGGAAAGAAAGAACTGACGAAAGTGTGGTATGGGCAGGTAGCCAAATGTTTCTGGCTGGAAGCAACTCTGGACAGCGTCTGGACCACCTGTCCCTTGCATGTAGAGAAAGGACATAACTCTTGTCTTGTTATTTTGTTAAGGTGGCAAAATTAACACAGAAGCAGTTCACTGTGTCCTGAAAGCTACTCACTGTTTCTAACCCTATCAGGTAAAAGTTCTTGGTGGTAAGGAGCAGGTCTCTCTTGACACTCTGAAACATAACGGAAAATCTTGATATTATGTGCTGTAACTACCAATCTTCTGCTGTTGGAATCCTGACAGTGACAAATATTACAAACACTGGCCTCTTGGTGTTTCAGATATCATTTTTTCACATGAATTCTGAAAGACCGAGAAAGGAAAACTGGTGTACACTAGTGGTGGTCCGATTAATTGAAAAAATCGAAGATTGGTTGCAGTGACTAAACGACCAAGCAATCGATCATGTTTTCTCATAATCGAACACAAAAAATTCTGGAACCCTTTTTGCATTAACAATATTTTTCACACGGTTGGTTTTGTCTGTTACATTTCATGAACACTACATGCTCGTCCCAAGTCACAATTGAATTTATTTTAAAGCCGACAAGAAATTTATGTTCCTAACATACTAGTCATCCTTTAAAGATGTGCAATTTGCAAAAAGCGCCCCAAGGAACTGCATCTTCTTTCTTTATTTTTTGTGCATTAACAAAAATAACCAGGAAAATTTCATAAATGATGCTAACCAATTATTTTCGCTGATTGATCGGTTGTAATGAACCAATCATCAATTATGAGATTTTAACCAATTCCCAACACTAGTGTACACAAAAATGGATTTTTATCAGTATTAAGTGTGTGAGTGAGTGAGTATGGTTTTAAACTTCTTTTATGAGTTTAGGAATATTCCTGCAATATTACATTGGGGGGGGGGGAAAGAGAGAGGACCAGAAATGGCCATCACACATTGTACCCACATCAGGATTCGAACCCAGGTCTTTGGCATGATGAGTGAACGCTTTAACCACTAGGCTACCCCACTGCCCCTGATCAGAAAGACACAATACAGCCTCTAAACCACATACCTTAAACCTTCTGTCATACTTCACGACTTGGTGAGCAAATTCTATTCTCTCACGCTTGCCAACAAGAGCCCGTAGTTCAGGGGAGTCATCAAGTCCGATGTAGTCCCCAACAAAATTCCTGTTGAGACTGTACTTTCGTCTCTCCTTCTTGTTCAATAGAATATCAGATGCTGAAAATATAGGTAAAATTCACCTCTTTAAATAAATGCACACAAAAACCTGCATACACAGACATGAACAAAACCTAGACAAACCTATCCATGGTTTCTCACAAGGATCTCCGTACAAGAAGAGTGCTTCTGCAAATTGTACAGACATGGTTTCCATAAACATGAATCTGATAACCTGATCATCATTGATAAAAACCATTCATTGAAATTCATTTCATTTCTCTCCAAATATTCTATACAAAAAAAACTCATTGAAAAGGGTAGATCTAGTTTTCTGAATGATTTGTGTATCCTCAGTAACAAGAACTGAAAAGAACATTATGCGGCCTGTATATCAATAATAACACAACATCAAAACACCATTTATGGATTGACTGTGTATTTTCCCCCCAGTTCACTGAGGTATAAATAAAAAACAAAACAAAAAAACCCCTGTAGGAATCGGCGTAGCAAATTCTTATCAAAGGTTGAAAGTACTGATATGTTTTATTCGGCCTCTGACCTCAAAGGATGATTTGGACAAATCCACATATGCATCAGTGTCACTAAAAGTCCTGTGACTGATGCTACAGACAAGCAGACAGGGAATGCTAGACTAACAACTAGTCTCTGAAATGAACATATTTTACTGAAAAAAGTTCATAGTAAAAGAAAATATATATAATGAAAAGGAGCCCTGAGACTTTCTTCATTTTCAGAGACTAAACAAATCTGCAGAGGGATAATTTCTTGGAATTTCACAACACATGCAAAGATTCTTATCACCCATTACTGCTTTAATTGTGTGTGACAGGAATATTTACTGCCCCACCACCTCTGGGTCCCTACTGCCAGTGGTGTGGGCCGATTTAAAAGGTAATGAGTATCAAGTGTCGCCAAATCTATTTTGAGAGCAAGCAGGGATACCAGCTAAGGGTAGCATCTCTTGATATTCCTAGGCTGGACAACTGGATCTCAAAAAAAAATAATCCAAAGTTATTTATATTCTCCAAAATCAAAGGTTGTGTCTGCACTATATGTAGAAGTTTAATTGATGTGCATATATATAATGTAACAAGCAGAAAAATCATCAATATCCCCTTATTGGCAAAATACTTTCGTCATGTATATGTCAGTTAGTTATGACTATGTCTACCACTACCACCAATTTCAGTCAAGGTCAAACTTCTATGGATCATACTTGACATATGTTCCAAGTTTGATGAAGCTTGCATGTATAGTTTGGAAGATCTGATGACTGACTGAGTTGGTTTTAGCAATATTCCAGCAACATCAGTGAGGGGACACCCGAAGGGCTTCACACATTGTACCCATGTGGGGATTTGAACCCGGGTCCTCGGCGTGGCAATAGCGCTTTAACCATTAGGCTACCCCACCGCCCCCCGGACAAGATGACATCCTCATGGTCACAACAGCCTAAGTCATGTTTCCATGGAAACAGGACAAAAAAAAAACTTCAGTATCTAGGTTCTAACCATCAAATGGCACATTTATGGATCATGCTTGATTTGTGTACCAAGCTTACCATGTGTACCAAGTCACGTTTCCATGGAAACCACAAAATAAAATTCATATCTGGGTCTAACCGTCACATGGCACATTTATGGATCATGCTTGGTATGTGTTCCCAGTTTGATGAAGCTAGCATGTATAATTTAGGAGCTTTGCTTCGGACAAGATGACATTCTCATAGTCACAGCCTAAGTCATGTTCCCATGGAAACAACAAAAATAACATTCATATCTGGGTCTAACTTAAAAGGCACATGTAGGGATCATGGTTGACATGTGTACCAAGTTTGGTTAAGCTATCATGAATAGTTTAGGAGATATGCTTCGGACAAAGTGACGGACGGATGAATGGAACTTCGTTTCTATATTCCCGCAAATTAGATTGTTTAGGAGGATAACAATATGCCATCAGATCCCCATGACAATGTCTTTTTAAAGTTTATGGGTAAAGTCACAAATGCCTACATCGTTGAGGTACACTGCTTTGAGCCCTAATGATTTATATTTCTCTGTTTGTCTCTTCATCATGCAAATCAAGGATGACACAACACCAACACTAGCATGGCTTGTATTTTTCTACTGACTTGTCTGAATAGGGAGAATTCCTGGATGGAGAACAAAACAATACATTTTCACCACTTAAGTACTTTTTCAATCATTGTATTCAGATTTGGACCCGAATGCTGTGTATATTTGCTTTCATCCTCATCAAAGTTCCAATTCATTTTACCCTGAGATGGAAAACTTTTGAAATGATCCCTCTCTAGCCAGTGTAAAAATGAAACAGTTAAAGAAAATACTCAAGATTTTATAAGTCATCAGGTCTCTAGTGTAATCACACATGTATATCAGTGAGGCAGTTTGGAACAGCAGACAGGGAATTCCTGTGACTGATGCTACAGACAAGCAGACAGGGAATTCCTGAGACTGATGCTTCAGACAAGCAGACAGGGAATGCCTGTGACTGATGCTACAGACAAGCAGACAGGGAATTCCTGAGACTGATGCTACAGACAAGCAGACAGGGAATTCTTGAGACTGATGCTACAGACAAGCAGACAGGGAATTCCTGAGACTGATGCTACAGACAAGCAGACAGGGAATTCCTGTGACTGATGCTACTGACAAGCAGACAGGGAATTCCTGTGACTGGTGCTACAGACAAGCAGACAGGGAATTCCTGAGACTGATGCTACAGACAAGCAGACAGGGAATGCCTGTGACTGATGCTACAGACAAGCAGACAGGGAATTCCTGAGACTGATGCTACAGACAAGCAGACAGGGAATTCCCTGTGACTGATGCTTCAGACAAGCAGACAGGGAATGCCTGTGACTGATGCACAGACAAGCAGACAGGGAATGCCTGTGACTGATGCTACAGACAAGCAGACAGGGAATGCCTGTGACTGATGCTACAGACAAGCAGACAGGGGAATTCCTGTGACTGATGCTACAGACAAGCAGACAGGGAATTCCTGTGACTGATGCTACAGACAAGCAGACAGGGAATTCCTGAGACTAATGCTACAGACAAGCAGACAGGGAATGCCTGTGAATGATGCTACAGACAAGCAGACAGGGAATTCCTGAGACTGATGCTACAGACAAACAGACAGGGAATTCCTGTGACTGATGCACCACAGACAAGCAGACAGGGAATTCCTGCGGGACTGATGCTTCAGACAAGCAGACAGGGAATTCTTGTGACTGATGCTACAGGCAAGCAGACAGGGAATTCCTGAGACTGATGCTACAGACAAGCAGACAGGGAATTCTTGAGACTGATGCTACAGACAAGCAGACAGGGAATTCCTGAGACTGATGCTACAGACAAGCAGACAGGGAATTCCTGTGACTGATGCTACAGACAAGCAGACAGGGAATTCATGTGACTGGTGCTAAAGACAAGCAGACAGGGAATTCCTGTGACTGATGCTACAGAACAAGCAGACAGGGAATGCCTGTGACTGATGCTACAGACAAGCAGACAGGGAATTCCTGTGACTGATGCTACAGACAAGCAGACAGGGAATTCTTGTGACTGATGCTACAGACCAAGCAGACAGGGAATTCCCTGTGACTGATGCTTCAGACAAGCAGACAGGGAATGCCTGTGACTGATACTACAGACAAGCAGACAGGAATGCCTGTGACTGATGCTACAGACAAGCAGACAGGGAATTCCTGTGACTGATGCTACAGACAAGCAGACAGGGAATTCTTGAGACTGATGCTACAGACAAGCAGACAGGGAATTCCTGAGACTGATGCTACAGACAAGCAGACAGGGAATTCCTGTGACTGATGCTACAGAACAAGCAGACAGGGAATTCCTGTGACTGATGCTACAGACAAGCAGACAGGGAATTCCTGTGACTGATGCTACAGACAAGAAGCAGACAGGGAATGCCTGTGACTGATGCTACAGACAAGCAGACAGGGAATGCCTGTGACTGATGCTACAGACAAGCAGACAGGGAATTCTTGAGACTGATGCTACAGACAAGCAGACAGGGAATGCCTGAGACTGATGCTACAGACAAGCAGACAGGGAATTCCTGTGACTGATGCTACAGACAAGCAGACAGGGAATTCCTGTGACTGATGCTACAGACAAGCAGACAGGGAATTCCTGTGACTGATGCTACAGACAAGCAGACAGGGAATTCCTGAGACTGATGCTACAGACAAGCAGAGACAGGGAATGCCTGAGACTGATGCTACAGACAAGCAGACAGGGAATTCCTGTGACTGATGCTACAGACAAGCAGACAGGGAATTCCTGTGACTGATGCTACAGACAAGCAGACAGGGAATTCCTGTGACTGATGCTACAGACAAGCAGACAGGGAATTCCTGAGACTGATGCTACAGACAAGCAGACAGGGAATTCCTGTGACTGATGCTACAGACAAGCAGACAGGGAATTCCTGTGACTGATGCTACAGACAAGCAGACAGGGAATTCCTGTGACTGATGCTACAGACAAGCAGACAGGGAATTCCTGTGACTGATGCTACAGACAAGCAGACAGGGAATTCCTGTGACTGATGCTACAGACAAGCAGACAGGGAATTCCTGAGACTGATGCTACAGACAAGCAGACAGGGAATTCCTGTGACTGATGCTACAGACAAGCAGACAGGGAATTCCTGAGACTGATGCTACAGACAAGCAGACAGGGAATTCCTGTGACTGATGCTACAGACAAGCAGACAGGGAATTCCTGAGACTGATGCTACAGACAAGCAGACAGGGAATTCCTGAGACTGTAACTGGGATTCCTCTGCAGTCTGCAGTAGGGAAAATAGTGCCCACTCTTGGGGAGTGGATTCATTCTTTGTGATCACTTGGAAATGAAGGCAATGAGAGCATTGTGTGCCATGTGACCAGTTCAGTAATCAGAAAGTCTGTTGTTCTGATGCTGTCAAGGAAAATTAACAGAAACAGAAGACATACCTTCTTCCCTGAGTTTGAGATACTGTTTGACGGCATAGTGTTTGCGGTACGCTTTCTGAATAACCCTGGCGAAGCCATCATACTTCCTCTCTCGCACCTCTTCCAGAAGAAACAACTGAAAACAAACACAGCAGAGGGGTAGTCAGTGCAGAGCTTACAAACATTGTAAACACAGTAGTAAATACAAAATTCACCACACACAGAACACAGATGCATCAAAATTACATGTGCGTCACTCTTGGAGGCTGGTCAATCATCATCATAAGTTCATATTACGAGCAACGATCCTCGGCATCTTGGTATGCTGACATGCCATGAATCAAGTTACTTAGAATGACCACCATTGGGTCACTTCTCATGACCTGCATCGGTTGTTGTGTACCGATTCCTACCTGGAACTGTCAACATATTTAACAGAGAAGACTAAACTCACAGATTCTGGATTCTTGATGAATACTTTAGTCTTCCCCATCTGAAACTGATCCCGATCCATGTTGACGGAATTCATGAGGTGTGTGATACCCTGACGCGGATCTCCCCGCCATGACGGGTATGTCTCTGGCGTCAGGACGTTGTATCTGAAAAACACAACAGTGAGTGAGTGTCGCTATGTTAACACGGCTATGATACAGACAAAGTGATCTCCCCGCCATGACGGGTATGTCTCTGGCATCAGGATCTTGTATCTGAAAAAACACAACAGTGAGTAAGTGTCGCTATGTTAACACAGCTATGATACAGACAAAGTGATCTCCCCGCCATGATGGGTATGTCTCTGGCGTCAGGATCTTGTATCTGAAAAACACAACAGTATCTGAAAACACACACAGTGAGTGAGTTGTTCTGGCGCCATCTTGTTAACAACACAACAGTGAGTGAGTGTCATGATACATGTCTCTGGCGCCAGGACAAAGTGATCTCCCCGCCATGACTCTGGCGGTCAGGGCGCCATCTGAAAACTCTGGCGTCAGGGTGTATCTTCTGTATCTGAAAAACACAACAGTGAGTGAGTGTCGCTATGTTAACACGGCTATGATACAGACAAAGTGATCTCCCCATGCCATGACCATGCAGCCCAAAGTGATCTGGCACAGGATGCTTGGATCTGAAAAACACAACAGTGAGTGAGTGTAGCGTCGCTATGTGGACACCCTTGCTCTGGTGTCCTCTAAGAGAAACTGCAGTGCCTAGGATGACATGGACACCCTTGCCCTCTCAAGAGAAACTGCAGTGCCTGCGAGTGCCTTGGATGACAGTGCCTAGGACACCCCTTGCCCTCTAAGAGAAACTGCAGTGCCTAGGATGACATGGACACCCCTTGCCCTCTAAGAGAAACTGCAGTGCCTAGGATGACTAGGACACCCCTCTGAGAAACTGCCCTCCCTCTCTAGAGAAACTGCAGTGCTGCAGGACACCCTGCCTTGCAGTGCCTAGGATGACTAGGACACCCTTGCCCTCTAAGAGAAACTGCAGTGCCTAGGATGACAGTGCCTAGGGATGACTTGGACACCCCTTGCCCTCTAAGAGAAACTGCAGTGCCTAGGATGACTTGGACACCCTTGCCCTCTAAGAGAAACTGCAGTGCCTAGGATGACTAGGACACCCTTGCCCTCTAAGAGAAACTGCAGTGCCTAGGATGACATGGACACCCTTGCCCTCTTAGAGAAACTGCAGTGCCTAGGATGACTAGGACACCCTTGCCCTCTAAGAGAAACTGCAGTGCCTAGGATGACTATGGACACCCTTGCCCTCTAACAGAAACTGCAGTGCCTAGGATGACATGGACACCCTTGCCCTCTTAGAGAAACTGCAGTGCCTAGGATGATATGGACACCCTTGCCCTCTTAGAGAAACTGCAGTGCCTAGGGATGACTGGGACACCCTTGCCCTCTGCAGTAAGAGAAACTGCAGTGCCTAGGATGACTTGGACACCCTTGCCCTCTAAGAGAAACTGCAGTGCCTAGGATGACTAGGACACCCTTGCCCTCTAAGAGAAACTGCAGTGCCTAGGATGACTTGGACACCCTTGCCCTCTAAGAGAAACTGCAGTGCCTAGGGATGACTTGGACACCCTTGCCCTCTTACATAAACTGCAGTGCCTCTTACATATGCAGTGCCTAGGATGACTGGACACCCTTGCCCTCTAACATAAACTGCAGTGCCTAGGGATGATATGGACACCCCCTGCCCTCTAGAGAAACTGCAGTGCCTAGGATGACTGCAGGACACCCTTGCCCTCTAACATAAACTGCAGTGCCTTGCCCTCTGGATGAGTGCCTATGGACACCCTTGCCCTCTAAGAGAAACTGCAGTGCCTAGGATGACTTGGACACCCTTTGCCCTCTTAGAGAAACTGCAGTGCCTAGGATGACTGGGACACCCTTGCCCTCTTAGAGAAACTGCTGCAGTGATATGCACTAGGCCTCTTAGAGAAACTGCAGTGCCTAGGATGACACACCTTGCCCTCTTAGAGAAACTGCAGTGCCTAGGATGACTGGACACCCTTGCCCTCTTAGAGAAACTGCAGTGCCTTAGGATGATGTGGACACCCCTTGCCCTCTTACATAAACTGCAGTGCCTAGGATGATATGGACACCTTGCCCTTGCCCTCCTTAGGATGAACACTGCAGTGCCTGCCTTGGATGACTATGGACACCCTTGCCCTCTAAGAGAAACTGCAGTGCCTAGGATGACTAGGACACCCTTGCCCTCTAACATAAACTGCAGTGCCTAGGATGATATGGACACCCTTGCCCTCTAACATAAACTGCAGTGCCTAGGATGACTTGGACACCCTTGCCCTCTGAGAGAAACTGCAGTGCCTAGGATGACTAGGACACCCTTGCCCTCTGAGAGAAACTGCAGTGCCTAGGATGTCTGGGACACCCTTGCCTCTTAGAGAAACTGCAGTGCCTAGGATGACTTGGACACCCTTTCCCTCTTAGAGAAACTGCAGTGCCTAGGATGACTTGGACACCCTTACCCTCTTAGAGAAACTGCAGTGCCTAGGATGACTTGGACACCCTTACCCTCTAAGAACAGCCCTTATGGAGAACAATGTCTTTGTAACACATGTTAGGGCATGCACAATTCAGATCCACCCTCTCGAAGTAAGGCAACTAATTGCCAGCACATGATATCTTACACAATCAGCCACCATTGCTTGTACATCAAGTATTCATAATAATGTCTCTGATGTTTTCTTACTTGATGTCCCTTAACCTAGCAATCTGTTCATGTATTTATGATTAACTTCTAATTCTCTCACAAACAGATGTAGATGCATCAACCAACCTCTTGATGAATTTTGCGAACTCTCTCCTGAAGGCAAAGCCCGCTCTTCTGACCCGGATGTTTTCCTTCAAGCCCAGGTACTCCACCTGATGTTTAACCCTGGAAGACAACATTGCCACATCAAGTCCAAATATATGTGACAATGAAAGACCATTGATTCATTGAGACATGTAGACTAACGAATATTTTCAGAATATATTTGACAGAACTGCTATAAAGGTGATTGAAGAGAAACTGGCTTGATACTCCTGCAGTGACAGCTCAGCAGTTGACATCATATATCATATTGAACATCAAACACACCTATCACAATCACCAGCACAATTCATGCAATACTGTTTTTTTCTAATTTGGTAAATCTTCTATTCTGATAAGTCAGAGGAATCAAATCACAATAACCTCTGCTGACATAAACATACAAGAAAGAGGCAACTAGCGGGACCGGGTGGTCAGGCTCGCTGACTTGGTTGACAAATGTCATCATATCCCAATAACTTAGATTGATGCACATTCTGTTGATCGCTGGGTTGTCATGTCTGGACTCAATGATCTACAGACCGCCACCACCATATCTCCATACTATGGCTGACTGTAGTGTTAAACTACAACAACAACAACAACAACAACAGCCTAACACGGACAATGGCTGCACTGCCATGATGCAGTTAACATTGGAAACCTCATATTGTGAATTTGAATCAAAATTCAATTAAATCTCTAGGTAACCTGGCTGTGCACTGAAACCACAGTAGGTAAATCACCTAATTCATAAGCAACAGATTTGGAATCATACCATAAAGTAAAAGTGCTCTACTAAGGGGAGATAACTATTCTGACCTGCTTTCTTCCCAGTCTCTTGCTTTCTTTGTTTCATTTGGCTTGATACATCGGATGTAGTGAGGTGTACACTTCATTAGTGTCGTAACTAGCTTATTGGCCTGAGTCTGTGGACGAGAAACATGATAAATAATTAATAATGAGACAAGGATCAACACTGACTGGAACTATGCTAACTAAAACCTGACTGGTCCGATGTACGTTTAGACATTGTCAGAGGAATACAGATTTTGCCTTTCTGATTGATGAAATGTTTTCACTTCTGTCATTTTTCACAGAAACTCAGAGAAACAAGAATGTAACAAATAGGAAACTCACTCTGATCTTGCTGCCTGCTGTGGTCGGACGACCTTTTGTCTGAGAACTCACATCCTCAGGAAAGAGACTTGCAATAAATGAGCTGGAAAACACACAAAAACATTTTATGTCGGCTTTGTTGGTTTCTTAGATGATTAACGCCACAGTCAGCAATGTTCCAGCTATAAGAAGCGGTCTGTAAATAATCGAGTCTGCCGTGATCGTGAGTGTGTTAGTATTGCCGTGATCGTGAGTGTGTTGGTAATATAATCAAGAACACAATAAAGTATTGCCGTAACCGTGAGTGTGTCAGGGGGAAACAATGCCACTTTGAACAGTACTCTAGTATCACAGTCAGTCGGCTGAATGTGGGAGGACAACAAAAAGCAGGTCTCAGTTGTTTATCAGTGTGGTAAAACCCATGAGCACAGGTAGAGTGCTGATAAATCTAGAGACATAACCATGTACATGTACTTACTTTTGACTTGATTTCATCAGCTGAATGAGATCAGTGAACAGAACATCACGATTCCTTTCACAGAAGCCGTTTGCTTCGTAAGACACCTGAAACAAAAGAACTTAAGTTGACTGGCTTTGTTAGCTCAAAAGTGAATCAAATTTACTGTAGTTACTATGTATCTATGAAGAATGTATCAAAATGAGAAGAGAATCTTTTCAGAAAGCAGCCCACATCCCTATGTTTTCCTTACAACTATAACGTATGCTCAACCAACCTGACAGTGACATATTCAGTAGACTCACAATACATTCCTTTGGTACTATTCTGTAAATAGTATCCCTTTTTGTTTCAACTTATATTATTTCATATATAGAACATTATAGGGAGACAAACTGACCAGTATAGGCCTTAACGGGAACAGGTAAAGTGTTTTGTTTTTGTTTAACGCAGCACTCAGCAATATTCCAGCAATATGGTGGTGGTCTGTAAATAATAGAGTCTGGACCAGGCAACCAAGTGATCAACATCATGAGCATCGATCTATGCAATAGGGAACCAATGACATGTATCAACCAAGTCAGTGAGCCTGACCACCTGATCCTGTTAGTCGCCTCTTAGGACAAGCATGGGTTACTGAAGATCAATTCTAACCTGGATCTTCACAGGTCAGATCAGGTAAAGAATGTTTGACAATATTGGTATAGTCCGGGTATTATCTGCTCACCTTGCCAGCATAGTGATGGATGACGAACCCTGTGTTAGATCCCTGATAGTGCTCGTGAGATCCTACAGCACCTTGGAGTTTCTGAATGAAACAACCTGACTTCAGTCTAGCAGAATCAAGCAGAATGTCAGGAGAAAGAGACACCACATTGACCCCATCTAGCGTACTAGTTCAGGAACATAGATGATTTCCACATTCAAATACAAAACAATGCCATATTATAAGACAGATGAACATCATATGTGAACAGATAATTCATAGTGAGCAAGTGAGTGAGTGAGTTTAGTTTTACACTGCTTTTAGCAATATTTCAGCAATATCACGACAGAGGACACCCGAAATGGGCTTCACACATTGTACCCATGTGGGGAATCGAACCCAGATCTATGACGTGACAAGCAAACACTTTAACCACTAGGCTACCCCCCGCCCCAGATAATTAATAAATAATTCATATTAAACAATGGGAAATTCTAATAAATACTCTTCATTTATTCATCAATCATCAATACAGAACACATCACTCAACAGTCAGTACAAAGCAAATGAACATGATATGGTTTGATCAGTTGGATTACTTACAAACCCAGTTTTCCTGGAGTTAAATAATCAGAATTTCAACGTAAAATGTTTCAGATTTCGGAATCGTGAGATAATACTTCATGTATCTAGGAGTAGAGTTTCTACTGAACTATTCCTAGGAATCAAAAGTTACTATTCAAATGATAATAATTATGAGGAATCAAATGGTACATCAATCTCGACTTCAGAGAAAGAGTCTAACCATGATCAGTTTCTGATCGGCTCCCTCGGACACTGCGTGCATGGTGGCACAGATGTCATCCACCACACACATGAGTCCCGGGGGGCTCTTGGACTCAATCAAGTCACACACAATCTTGTTGTTGAAGTAGTCTATTGGCGTCCACTTGATGCCCTCCTGGACATACTCCTCCTGGAAATCAAAGAAAGGTCAGTGGTGTACAGGTTGCCAAAGTGATGACACACAGATAGTATAATGAAGGGATCTGACAACACTTCAGTCTAATGTCACCTGAAGAACAGTGTGGCACATGAAGAATGAGCTACATATATTTCACCAAAATGCTTTAATTAGACAATTTTCACCTGTATACCTGTTACCTGTAACTAGTATAGAATAAGGAAGAACTTAGGCTACAGGTTTGCCTAATTGTAAGTACTTAATGGAAATAGTAGTAGCAGTGGTAGAAGTAGTAGTGATGGTGGAGGTAGTAGCAGTAGTATGGACTGAGGACAAATTAGGCCATCCCTAACCTAATATATAGTAGGTACTGACTCCCATGTTCTTCTCTGTGTATCTAGCTTGCATAAACAAAACATTTGTCTTGTATCACAACTTAGACAAGCAAGGCAACACCCTCTCACTGTACTTCATCAACACACACGACACACTATTTGAAGCATGCACCAAGAAGACAAGGCCTGCTGTACCTGTTCTGCCTTCAGGGTGAGTTCTATGAAGATCTGCTGCAGTTTCTCATTGACATAGTTTATACAGAACTGCTCAAATCCATTCTTGGCAAAGATTTCAAACCCGTATATATCCAAAATCCCAATGTTGACCTCTTCTGTCTGCTTCTGCATAGCACAGTTGACCGACTGAAACAGTGAGTGATGATAAGGTACAACAGTGTCGAGGATGACAGAGAATCTACCAATTTATCTGGTTACCTGTACTTTTTACACTTAAGAACAGCTTTTTACTGCTTACAAACCCGAAAGATTGGAGGATATTCTGGATGACAAACAGCATCTTTGTGTTGTTTGACACCAGATATATCACCATGAGCCGGTAACAGTTGATGCTTCACAAGGTTTTACTGTTTAACGACGAGCGTTGATATATTTGATATCAAAACAATGCAAGGGAGACATTCTATTTAACACCCAAAATAGATATTAAGTGATTTCAGATTGTTCATAGTAATGACCAGTGTCCTGTGTAGAACAGATAACCAGCTTTAGTGACTCAGAGATCAGTGATGTCATTTGACTGTTATATTATGGCAACAAATGAAATCACAATGCTTCACAAAGCACCAAGTTTAACTTCATTGTAGCAAGATATCTAAGGAGATATAACTTGATCTCACTGAAGCAATACCTTACATTGTGATATAATGTAATTTTTCAAGTAAAATTGATATTTTTATACTTATCCTGACTCATGATCTTTTGCTTATCTCCCTTTCCTTTTTGAATGGTAGTGGAACACTTGAATCCCTTGAAGTTCCCAAAGCAGACGTAAAAATACACTCACCAACGAGTTACCTCCCTTCTGCCCTTTTCACGCGCAAACAGTCATGTGACCAGCCTTACTTGTCTCTCCTGATTTTCTGCCCATGCACTTGGATCTGCTGTGAAATCCAAAGTGTCTTCAGCGGTTGGGAGGGCTTCTCGTCATGAGTCAGGATAAGTATAAAAATATCAATTTTACTTGAAAAATTACATATTTTTTCTTATCCTGACTCAAGATCTTTTGCTTATAGAAAGATCACTCATGCTAGCCTGTCCTAGACTGTGCGCATGGACTTTCAAACTAATACTTTTCCTTAGTAAAAGTTATCAACAAGTCAACGTGATAAAGGGTGAGATTTTCCAACTCAACGCCTTTGAGGAACCGTTAGTTGCTGTGCTACGAGAGGCCCAAATTGGTGAATGCCTGAGATGTCTTCAGTGGCCATGTCTCGGATGTAGTGGTTGGCAAACACCGTGTCCGATTTCCAAAAGCAGCCTTCCATAATTGCTGGTATAGAGCAATTTCTGTGCAGAGCCAGTGTTGACACCAGTGCTCGGACTTCGTGTGGGTTGGAAGCTCTAGGAGGTTCTAGTCCTCCTGCTGCTGCAATATGACGGCTCTCATCCAGAACGATATCGTCAATCTTGAGACTTCTGCTGATGTCTCTGTTGATAATGGGATGAACAGGCGCTTGAATTTTCGTCTCCTTGTCTCAGTCTTTTGAAGATATATCTTCAGGGCTCTGACCGGACACAAGGATAGGTCTTCTATATCCTCTGGGCCGAGGATTGTAGATAGCGCTGGTACGTGGAACTGTCTATCTGGCTGACCAGGTAGTTGGTTCTTGGCAATGAAGTCCCATCTAAGTCCTAGATGAACTGCAGCATGTTGCCCCTTGTCGAATCTGGTTCGACCAAAGTCCAGCGCATGTATCTCTGATATTCGAGCTGCCGTGGCTAGCGCAAACAGGAATAGAGTCTTCTGTGTCAGCAGCTCGAAGGTAGTCTGGTCTAGAGGTTTGCAGGCATCACTTGTAAGATGACATAGAATTACATTCAGATCCCAGGCCGGAACTCTGAACTTCTTTTGCTGGTCCTCCAGTTTAAAAGATCTCAGCAGAGCAAGTAATTCTGCTACTTTCGTCAACTTGATGCCTGTTATCATGGTAATCACTGTACTGATTGCAGCGAGGTATGTCGAACCTTTCAGATGTCTGGTCTGTCTAAGATGACACAGGTATTCCGCCACTTGAGGATGAGTAGCTTTCATCGCAGTAAAGCCTTTCTGTCTTGCATAAGTCTCAAACTTCAGCCACTTGTCATCATACAGGTTACGAGTAGATCTGCGTAACGCTAGCGTTACTGCCTTGGCTGCCCTGGCGGAGTATCCTCTTTTCTTCAAACATGTTTTGATACGGTCCACACGTGTAGCTGGAACGCTGTCGGGTTCCTGTGGACTTGCTTGATGTGCGGACGTACGAGTAGGTTCGGCCAATCTGGTAACTTGATTGTTGGACATCTGAGATCTTCTATTAGGTCTAGGAACCATACTCTCGCTGGCCAGTATGGCGCGACCAAAGTCAGTTGTAGCGTCTGTGTCTGTTTGATCTTCAACAGTACTTCCGGTAGTAATATCGGGGGTGGAAACGTGTAAGCGTTTAGTCCTTCCCAAGATATGCTCAGTGCATCTGTTGCCAAGGCTTGAGGATCTGGAACATGTGAGACAAACGTCTGTAGTTGTTTGTTGAACCTCGTGGCAAACAGGTCTATGCAAGGGGATCCTATTTCCCTTATGATGAGCCGGAACACTTCTGGATGGAGCATCCATTCCGTAGGTGACGGTGCAGTGGTTGGGATAGAGCGTCTGCAAGTACGTTCTTGGCTCCGGTTATGTGACACGCCTTTATCCAAATGTTTGCTTCCTCCGTGATGTGGAACAACTGGAATGTGAGCTGTAGCAGGCTTGGAGACCTTGTGGATCCTTGCCGATTTATGGAGGATGCCACTGTAGAGTTGTCTGTGCTGATCATCAGCATTTTGTTGTTCAGCGAGCTTGACCATAGTTGTAAGGCGTTGATCACGGCTTTCATCTCCAGCAGATTGATGTGAAGATGCTGCTCTATTTTGGACCACCTTCCTGATGCAACTTGATGTTGAGATGCGCACCCCAGCCTTGCATCGAAGCGTCTCCGTAGAGATGTGAGTCGAAGGCCGGCTCTTGTAAATAGGTCCCTCCGCAAACGTTTGACCTGTGCGTCCATCATAGTAGATACCTCTTGAGGTTGTCTGGCAGCAAGAAAGGGTCGACGCTGTTTAGATGTTTTGTCAGGAACCATTGCAGTGGTCTTAGTTGTAACCTTCCTGTGCGAGTCAAGTCCTGCGGCGAGGTTAGTAGACCGAGTAGAACTTGCCATGATCGTAGTGTTAACGGAGAGATGATTGCTGGTGGAATCATGGCTTGTATCTTGACCCAACGATCTTCTGGGACGACAATACGATTCTGTGTTGTGATAAACCTTATCCCCAAAAATTGCAGATCTTGTTTTGGTTCCAACTCTGACTTCATAAGGTTCACCAGACATCCTAGTTGAGTAAGCAACTTGATTGTGAAGTTCAGCTGTAGTCTGAGTTGACTGGCATCTTGGTGAACCTGAATACCGTCGTTCAAGTAGAAGGCATTGCGTAGACCTTGATGATGTAGATATGTGGCTATAGGCTTGGTTATTCGTGTGAATAGCCACGGAGCTGAAGATATTCCAAACGGTAGGACGTTCCATTGGAAGTGATGCCCTCTGAATAGGAATCGTAGATACTTTCTTGATTCCTGATGTATCGGGATGTGAAGGTACGCATCCTGCAAGTCTATGCTGGCCATGCAATCTGCTGGACGGATGAGTAGTCTGAGTTGAGGTAGGTGGATCATTCTGAACCTCTCTGGTTTCAGTAGATGGTCTTTGTGGAATTTGAGCATGTTGTAAATCAGTCTGAACTTCTCCCTGGAGTTCTTCTTGGGTACTACAAAAATTGGGGAGTAGAAGCCTGGGGTGAGATGATGCTGATCTATTATCTCTACCGCCTCCTTCATAAGTAGTGAGTTGATGGCATCTTGTAGTTTGTCTGCCTGTTCCTCTGCATAGTCGAAGACCATCGGTGAGGGTTAGCGGAGGTGTGGCCTTTGAGTTGTACTCTGTATCCTTCTCTTAGTACTTGGGAGACGTAGTCGGCCTCTAGTATTCCTCAATTTTTCCAGTACCTTTGTAGACGTCCACCCACTGTTGACAGTTTTACAAGAACGGCTGGGGGTGGAAGACTCCAGTTGTTCTGGATCCTCTTGGAGTGCGGCCTCTCCCTGACTTTCCTCTGTAATTTCCGGATGGTCGACGAAAAGATCCTTTGCCGCCTCTGAAGCTGGAGTACTTCTTCTCCTTTGCCTTCTGTATGCCGGAATATTTGGACTTGTTGTTATACTTTTGCGAAGTATGACAGATGACGTTGGCCAGAGTATCTATGGATTTTATCATCGTAACTTCTCTAGAGTCGTGCGTAGCTTCCTTAGCTGCATCGTCTATTTGTCCTCCAAAGATAGTAGGTGCCTCCCATGGAGCTCTTAGTAGCGGTTGGGTGAATCTATCACTCCAAGAACAGGATGCAAGTAGCCCTTGTCTGCGTAGTAAAGTGAGACCTGCAGATATAGATGCCAGATGGTCCGATAAAAAGTACTGGTCCTTCTTCTGTGTTATGAGGGCCGAATATATCATTCTATCCTCTTCCAAACTTGCGTTCTGGAATTTATTGATCAATGCTTCATTGATGGCTCTGGACCTGGCCAACCCAAAGAAGGACCTCCTTGTAGCAGTATCCAGTTGAGATAACTTTTTATCTTCCACTTCATACATCTTGTTTTGGGAGTTGTTGACTAACTTTATGTTGTCATCCCATTCAGGCGCCTTTGTAAATGGATCCATATGATGTAAGGGGAATCTCTTTACATTAATGATGGCAGATGCTGACTCTGGTACTTGGATGCTTTCGCGAAAGCTGTGCGTGCGTAGGTTAGAGGGTACCTTGGATATAGGTTCAATCGGCGGGATAGTGACGGAGTCGTTACGCATCCTATAAGTGTAGATTTCATCTTTATCATTAGAAGGAGACTCCAAGTTCAACCCGTTGGCAATCCACGCTGTAACCTCTGAGTCTGGGAAGACGAAGTCTGCTTGCTGATCCAGAGTCTCCTGATTATTAGAGCTAGGCCTCTGCGACTCTTCCATCTGCGAACCTGTATCCCTTCTCGAACCTTCATCATCCTTTCGCTAACCTCTATCTGAAGATTCCTCCCTATGGGAACTTCTATCTTGAGAGTGCTCTCTTCGCGAACCTCTATCTGTAGATTCATCTCTTCGCGATCGTCTGTCGCTGGATGTATCCCTTCACGAACTTCTGTGATGTGAGCCTTCTCTTCGCGAACCTCTGTCTCGTGATGAGTGACTTCGCGAACGTCTGTAAGAGATATGAGATCTCGATCTAGAGCGGTTAGGTGTAGGAGATGGATCCTTCAATGTTCTCGAACGTTGAGGGTTCGAGGATGTAGAGCTGTGAGTAGACATCTCATCTCTTCTATCCTCCTCTAAGATGACAGAGTCGTCCGACTGTGGAGACCTTCGCAAAGGTGTACGTTTGCCAACGTAGTCTTGAGACGTAGTTCTATGAGGAGTAGGTTCGCGCAGGTCGGTAGGTTTGCGCACGGTGTCGGTAGATGAGAGGCTTCGCCGAGCCTTCGCTTCTTCCTAGAACCTACGTTCCATCATGGCCATCATCTGGTTGGTGAATTGTCTCATAAATTCGCCCGGGCCGAAACTCTGCGTTGGTTGCACCTGCTGCGGTGTAGACAAAGCGTTTGTGAACGCTGATGAGTTCTGCGCCTCAACTTCACTCCGTTGAGAAGTAGGTGGTAGTTTGTCAAACAGCTGGCCTGCTGTGACCGTTGCAGGGGACGATGTAGTAGTTGTAGAAGTCGTTTGAGTCGCTGATCTCGTAGGTACTTCGGGTAGAAGTAACGGGGTCATCAAAAACATCTACTTCATGTGGAGGTAGTATCTCTTCGTTGAAGGATTTCTGCTGCATTGACGTACTAGCAGTCGTAGATTTACCCTTCGATCTGGTAACAGATGCTTTCTTCTGCGATGTAGTAGAAGATGACGTCTTTTTCTTAGCTTGAGTCAGAGTCAACTGCGTTGTAGCCGATCTCTTCTTGGCCCCCAGCAGACTGCCCCTGCAACGTACTAAACATAGCACCAGTATTATGAACTTCAGCAGTAGCAAGCAACTTTTTCGTTGGCTGATCTCCTGTTTTATCAACCGTGACTTGAGATGACTTCCTCACCCGATCCATGGCACGTCTATAGATATAAGACAAATATTGATTAAATTGAAGATTTGATAAATCAACACAATAACTACAGCGCAAGCTGGAAGAACATGGTTTTGTGCACAAAGGGCACTGAGGGTGAGGATCAGCCACGGATAACCTGTGCCTGCAAACACTGCACGATTTCATGAAATGTAAACACAGTTACATTATGATGAATTTATGACATAAATACAAATAATTTTTACAATTTTCTTACAAATAATACATAGTAGTTATTGCTAAATCCATTTTCAGCATAATTTTGAAGAATAGGACCTAAATAAAAAGGATATAAAGCTGTATAAGGGACTCCAGTGCTCGCCCAACCATCCGCTTGGGCGAAAAGGGAGAGAGTGACAAGTAAGGCTGGTGACTGTTTGTGCGGGGAAAAGGGCAAAAGGGAGGTAACTCGTGGGTGAGTGTATTTTTACGTCCACTTGGGGAACTTCAAGGGATTCAAATGTTCCATTACCATTCGAAAAGGAAAGGGAGATAAGTAAAAGATCAAGAGTCAGGATAAATAAAAATATACGGTTTAGCAACAGTCAGCAATGTTTGATGCCAGCAGCATCCTAAGACAAAGGGACCGCCTCCATGGTGTGGTGGCTAGAGCGTCCGCCCGAGAGCGAAAGCCGGTCGCGGGGTTCATCCACAGCCACGCCATACCAAAAGACGTTAAAATATGGTACTTGTTGGTCCCTGCCTGGCGCTCGGCATTAATGGGTACATCAAGGACTGGTCAGCTCGGAGTCAGTATAATGTGTCTGAGTGGGGTATTCATGTATCAACTGTGGCATGACATCCTTGACCAGGCTACATGAGCAAGATATGGTACATGTGTGTACTCACCTCTACTAGATAGTCAAACACACGTGTGTAGATGGCTTTGGCGAGAGCATCTCTGGTGAACTCGGCCTGTTCTTTGTTGAGTTTCATTTCAATACTCTCCGACTTGCCTCCCCATTTACTGTCCATGACACGCCCAGTCAGCTTCGTGCGAAGCAACTCAGCATCAATGCCCAGTAGAAAAGCCGGGAAAGCAAGAACTGAAAATAGTTTAACAAAGAAAGTGCTACCTGCCAAAACTATTATTATATGATATTTATATAGCACACATATCCAGGCAACTAGTGCTTGCTCAAGGCGCTGGTATTTTCACCCTCGATCATTGGATGTCAGTCTCAACGGCACATCGTGCTATCAATCTCAACTCCCTGGGGATCATACAACTACATACAAACTACTGCTCATTTTAACTAATTACTAAAAATAAAACCTACTGGAATATCATTAATGATAAATGACCATCTTATTTCAATACAGCTTTTAATTACAGCATTTTTATCCTTGATAAATCAATAAATCTACCCTAAATTTTCCAAATTTAAAACTAAAACAAACATGTTTCACTGATATTCAGACATCACATTCAATGAGACCAGAGATTAATCAACTCTTACATCAGCAACAGGCAAACAATGAAAAGGGTACATTAAATATAGAAAACATGGGGCCTGGCGTTCCTAAATGATGATAAATAGTTGTTTAATTGTTTTGTTTAGGTGTCAATTTGAAGCACATCTGGTGTCAAATTCAAGCTGTAAGTTTGTATATACACTATCAGTTTGATAGACACATACCCCACACAGACAGACAGACAGACGGACGGATGCACAGACACACAGACAGACAGACACACAGACAGTCACACACACACACACACACACACACACACACACACACACACACACACACAGACAGACAGACACAGACAGACGGACACAGACAGTTAGTTACTTACAGTCATCATTTGCTATGCCAGCATAGTTGCCGTCCTCCTGGAAGCTGATGTTGCCCAGATGTAGAATGCCAGCCACAATGGAGAGGACATCGTTCTGGACATCTTCAGGAATACCGATCACCTGCATAGCCCGCTGGAGATCAACGGAGGGAGATATAGGAAATATACCTGCACAGCACACTGGAGATCAACGGAGGGAGATATAGGAAATATACCTGCATAGCCCGCTGGAGATCAACGGAGGGAGATATAGGAAATATACCTGCACAGCACACTGGAGATCAACGGAGGGAGATATAGGAAATATACCTGCATAGCCCGCTGGAGATCAACGGAGGGAGATATAGGAAATATACCTGCACAGCACACTGGAGATCAACGGAGGGAGATATAGGAAATATACCAGCATAGATCAACGGAGGGAGATGGAGATCATAGTCGGAGGATCAGCGGAGATATAGGAAATATACCTGCACAGCACACTGGAGATCAACGGAGGGAGATATAGGAAACATACCTGCATAGCCCGCTGGAGATCAACGGAGGGAGATATAGGAAATATACCTGCACAGCACACTTTTGACTTTCAGGATGGTTTTGGTTCAGAAAATCTGTAATCCTGATTATTCTCATTATTATCCACTGTGTTTTTGCTGCATGATGTATACAGGATTAATTTGTTTGTAAATGCCATGCACGCATTGGTTATGAGACACACAATCCACATTGTTTTACACCGCTTGTAGCAATATTCCAGCAATATCACGGCGATATCACCAGAAATCGGCTGCACACATTAAGTGAGTGAGCGAGTGAATGAGTGAGTGTAATACCACTTTAAACAGATACATCACATCAGGTCACATTAATGTTGCAGGAAGGCCAAAGTGAGTCTCCTCGTAGCACCAGCAAAGGTAGCTGGGGACCACCTCTAACCCAGAGTCCCATAGGCTACACACAGAGGAAGTACACCCCACGTACCAGAGTGTCCTGGAACTCCTGGACGTCATCCATGCCGTCCACCTTGTAGGTACCACTCTGGTTCAGGTAGTAGTAGTAGTCTGGAGTTGTAATGCCTAAGTTCTCTGCAACACATAAACTACTGTAACAATATGGAGCATAGCATTTTCAAATATGATTGAAAAAAAATAATATTCATACCCACGTTTTTTATATCAAATGACTGCTAACAAGTCTGAAGCATTAATCTAAAAGGGTGCATATGAAGAATACAGGAATATTCAGGTACCATATGAAGAATACAGGAATATTCAGGTACCATATGAAGAATACAGGAATATTCAGGTACCATATGAAGAATACAGGAATATTCAGGTACCATATGAAGAATACAGGAATATTCAGGTACCATCTGGTCCAGCTTACCTTTGAGCTGTGCAGTAGCCCCTGCACATAGCTGATAAAATATATGAAATCCTCGCTCACTTGGGTTTTGGGAAACTACTCGAGACTGTGAGGAAAAGAAGGAACAAAGGCATCAGTATTGGAGGATCAACTTGTCTATCAGTGCCTAGATCCACTGCAGCTACAGGAGGCAGGTATAGGGAGAAACGTTGGATGCATCTACAATCTCGTCTTGTGTACAGGCAACGCTTTTCCCATAAACTATACATGCAGACAATGAGTTAAAGATATTAACAGGAGAACATAATACCAGAAGGTGCTTGTCAACAACTCTATACCTCAATACAATAATCCTGTTATTAAACTAACTGTATATCTGACCTGTCTGTAATCTATATTCATTTTAATCAATATTTCATTCAATTTGGTCGTAGTCTAAAAACAGAAGACTATTTCTTGAGCTTGTATACATACTGATTACTGCAATACTTCTAACACATCAAAAACACAAACCTTTTCAAGAAGGAAGTTTGAGATTTTCCCACCATCTGGCTCACCTCCTCGACTAAACTGGATTTCAACATACTTGCCCTGAAATCAGATTTAAATATGATATTTTTAACTTTGAATATGTCATCAAATACCGTTGTTTGGTAATACATGAACAACTTGAGTGTATTCTGAGTGATTGCATCGCTAAACAAAGAACGCCATGTTTGTACTGAGACTCGAGAATACTGAGTTTAACAGACACTTAAGACACAGTGTTGCAGCTTGAAGCTGGACACTCCTTGTCTGATCTAAACGAAGCGAGACATCAGGTGGGGCGACAACTACCATCATCTTTCAATGCTTTTAGGGATGACATGGTGGAGTATCAAACCGCAAACCTTCTGCTGTTTGAGCAGACACTGTATCCACTGCCCTATGGGGTGGTTCCCTAGTACATGATGATTGACAAGAAGCATCTTAAAGGAATTTTTGTTGTTGTTGTTGTTGAATGCAGCACACAGCAATATTTCAGCTAATTGGCGGCAGTCTGTAAATAATCAAGTCTGGACTAGACAATCAAGTGGTCAACAGAATAAGCATTCATCTACTGGAATATGATGACACGTGTCAACCAAGTCAGCAAGCCTGACCACCCGATCCCGTTAGTCACCTCTTATGATGAGCATGGGTTACTAAAGACCAATTCTAACCCAGATCTTCAAATGACAGTGACTTCATTTCGGATTCAATTTCGAATATACCCTTGTGTCTCTTTACACGCTATAACAAGCAAAAACAACTTTTACGTTAGCACTGAATTGTTAGGTGACTTTCCACAAGTACAAATAAATTAATGAGGGGAACATGTAAGATTTCGTACTGTGATGCTGAAACCAAGACACTACAGTCCTGGCAACCGAGACATGCATTTCTCGGTCGGGCTTGTACAGATTTAGCTTGTGTTGTTATCACAGGACCCTCCATTACCGCGATAGTTAATGTTGTCGGTATCGGGATTATGAATGCTTATTGACATTTGGCATTTTTTATATAATTTCAGTTGACTGATGTTTAATCTTCAATTCTGTCGCAAATAATGTGACAGATAGTCGCAACTTGTTCAATACGATCACAATACGATTCTTACCATATGTGTCAAACGTTTACTTAGGACAAGGAGTGAATCTAAATAGTTTTAAAACATTTTGGAATTTCGGAATTGAGATCAGTAACATCATCATGTTTTAACCAAAACATCTGAGACTTCTATTCATTTTGAATACACGATAACAGAACATTTTTGGTGCTTTTCAAAAAGTGATTTGTAATATCACATTGATTAAGTGATAGTTATTATGGGTCACAACGTTTAAAGTTATGAGTGTGGGTTTTGGCTCGCATCTCGCGTCATATATGTTCAATGGCAATAGCATTTTTAGTGATACGCCTTTTGAGATAGCGCTTCAGAATGACCTGCCCTTGGCAATCTTTTGTTTTGACTTCCGGCTTTCATCATATTGTGTGTTCGAGAAAATCCTGTAACATTCTGAGAGAATAATGATGGAGCCTAGCTTTGCTAGAATGCTCAAGAACTGTGTAAGAGCAATATAAAGGCTGCTTGTTGAGTTGCGCGGATGGACTTTTCACATGACTGGATTTATACACATCTGTCTGCCATCATCAAGTGAGTTAATATTTTATATTTGTGACCCAACATTTTAGATTTGTGACTCAAATGCATTGTACTAGATATCTGTATTGTCATTCATTGTAGCTTGCTCATTGTTTGCTCAATATATTATTGAATATTTTAGACTTGTCTGTGTTCTATTTTGCTGGTTCAAAGGGGACTTTTAAACCTTTTGTCACGGCAAATTATTAACCGTAACAACACCATACGTCACTTCAGGAAAATATGCAAATGACTTTATAGTTGTCGCAGGATTACTCTTGGCGAAGTAAAGGGTCATATTAGTTTCAAAATGTTCCAGAATTTACTGCAAAGATGAATACTTTAACTTTTCTAACATGAAACATGACATTCCTATGAAACAAATCACTTTTTCAAATGCGATGAATTGTTTTTACGTAATTTGCATATGTAAACAACTGACCTAAGCGTGGTGTTTCTGCTTTCCTGAGAAACCTGTTTATTCACGACTTTCAAGTAACCACCACACTTGGGGATTTTACGGGACGCTTGAATCACCCTGCGCCGTGTTCGCACCCAATCGAGTTGGTTTCACGGTGATTGAATTATTAGGGTCAAGCGCTTCAGTTAGTGCCACTGAGCGCACCAGTCACGCGTATAAAAGACGATAGGCCGTCTCATGAACACGCGTTCGTCTCTGACTGTTCATGGGTTAAATGAAGTGGGCTGATCTGGTGATTGTGCATCATTCTACCCTGGACATCGGACAGCTGCCCAAAGTCACAACTTTGGCCATCTCCAGCCATTAGGCCACTCAGGTCGTTCATCATATATACAGATCAGTGACATTGATACTTACAAATCTACTGGAATTGTTGTTCCGAACAGTCTTTGCATTTCCAAATGCTTCTAGTAATGGGTTGGATTCTAATATGACATCTTTTACATGCTGAAAAAAACACACGCATACAAATTATGCAAAAAGATCCTCCACTGGAACATATGGTTGATAGCCTCAGTAATAATGCATTACTGTTATGATGAAGACGTGTAGTAGACCGTTCCTAATTTATGGCTAAGGGGGAGTGATGATGATTTTAACAGGGGCTGTCACCCATTTTGTTCTGGGGAAGTAGGGGGTCATCAATATTAAAAAATATGAAAAATTATGGTTACAAATTATAGGAGGGAGGTGGGGGGTGTTGTTCATTGATTTTGTACATGACATGCAGGGGGATCACTTACTTTGTACACAACTATTAGGGGGGTCATGCATATTGTACTTGCTTCTCCCAAAAAATCATCATCATCCCCACTAGCCATTAATTATGAATGGTCCCTATACTGACAGTCATATTTCAATCAGTGATCTTCATACAACAGAAGCCTTTTGTGAGGCACTCTGTGTACCCCATAATACATAGTACATTGTACCCCATAATACATCGTACCCCATAGTACATCGTACCCCATAATACATTGTACCCCATAATATATTGATTTCTCTCCTTTATTGGACATAACTCATACTTAGTAGCCTAATGAAGTCACAGACTGCTGTACAGCAATGTGTTTACAGATACCACAGCTGCTACACAATGTTAAGTGTCACCTGTCGGCAATGTGTTTACAGATACCACAGCTGCTACACAATGTCAAGTGTCACCTGTCAGCAATGTGTTTACAGATACCACAGCTGCTACACAATGTTAAGTGTCACCTGTCAGCAATGTGTTTACAGATACCACAGCTGCTACACAATGTTAAGTGTCACAGCAAATGTGTTTACAGATACCACAGCTGCTACATACCACAGCTGTGTCACCTGTCAGCAATGTGTTGTACACCCGATATCTGTACAGCAATGTGTTTACAGCTGCTACACAATACCCTGTCGGCACAGCTGCTCACAATGTTAAGTGTCACACAATGTCAAGTGTCTGTCAGCAATGTGTTTACAGATACCACAGCTGTGTTGTACAGATACCACAGCTGCTACACAATGTCAAGTGTCACCTGTCAGCAATGTGTTTTACAGATACCACAGTTTACAGTCACCTGTCAGCATACCTGTACAGCTGCTACACACACAATGTTAAGTGTCACCTGTCGTGCAGTCCAGATACCACAGCTGCTACACAATGTTTGTCACCTGTGTTTACAGATACCACAGCTGCTACACAATGTTAAGTGTCACCTGTCAGCAATGTGTTTACAGATACCACAGCTGCTACACAATGTTAAGTGTCACCTGTCAGCAATGTGTTTACAGATATCACAGCTGCTACACAATGTGTCACCTGTCAGCACACACCAGCTGCTACACAATGTATTATCTTGTTGACGCTCACCTGTACTCTGTTTCCCCCTCCAGACACTTTGGCAATGTAACTCATGATGAACTTTGCTGCCACTGTCTTGCCGGCTCCACTCTCGCCACTGCAGAAAAAGTGATAAGATGCTAGAGTATGTGTAGGGCAGGAGCTTGTGGACATGGTGGAAGTGAGTGAGTGAGTTTGGTTTTACGCTGCTTTTAGCAATATTCCAGCTATATCACAGTGGGGGACACCACAAATAGGCTTCACACTTTGTACCCAAGTGGGGAATTGGACCCAGGTCCTCAGCGTGATGAGCGAACGCTTTGACCACTAGGCTACCCCACCGCCCCCATGGTGCAGGGATACATTAGAAATACTGACATACTGGAATACTGGAGATACTAGAATACTGGGGTTTGAGAGGTATTGGCAGTGTTGCAGATACAGGATGTACAGGCATACTGGGGGTTTGGGAGATACTAGGGGTGCTGGCATAATTAGGGGTTTGGGAGATACTAGGGGTGCTGGCATACTGGGGTTTGGGAGATACTAGGGGTGCTGGCATACTGGGGGTTTGGGAGATACTAGGGGGTGCTGGCATACTGGGGTTTGGGAGATACTAGGGGTGCTGGCATAATTAGGGGTTTGGGAGATACTAGGGGTGCTGGCATACTTGGGGTTTGGGAGATACTGGGGTGCTGGCATACTAGGGGTTTGGGAGATACTGGGGGTGCTGGCATACTGGGGTTTGGAGGAGATACTAGGGGTGCTGGCATACTGGGGTTTGGGAGATACTAGGGGTGCTGGCATACTGGGGGTTTAGGGAGATACTGGGGGTGCTGGCATACTAGGGTTTGGGAGATACTAGGGGGTGCTGCTGGCATACTGGGGGTTTTTGGGAGATACTGGGGGTGCTGGCATACTGGGGTTTGGGAGATACTACTGGGGTGCTGGCATACTGGGGGTTTGGGAGATACTGGGGGTGCTGGCATACTGGGGTTTGGGAGATACTGGGGTGTTTGGGAGATACTGGGGCTGGCATACTTGGGAGATACTGGGGGTTTACTGGGAGATACTGGGGGTGCTGGCATACTGGGGGTTTAGGGAGATACTAGGGGTGCTGGAGATACTAGGGGGCTTTAGGAGATACTAGGGGTGCTGGCATACTGGGGTTTAGGAGATACTGGGGGTGCTGGCATACTGGGGGTTTGGGGAGATACTAGGGGGTGCTGGCATACTGGGGGTTTAGGAGATACTAGGGTGCTGGCATACTGGGGGTTTAGGAGATACTAGGGGTTTACTGGGGTTTTAGATACTGGGGGTGCTGAGCATACTAGGGGTTTACTAGGCATACTGGCATACTGGGGTTTTGGGAGATACTGGGGGTGCTGGCATACTGGGGGTTTGGGAGATACTAGGGGTGCTGGCATACTGGGGGTTTAGGAGATACTAGGGGGTTTGGGAGATACTAGGGGTGCTGGCATACTAGGGGTTTGGGAGATACTGGGGGTGCTGGCATACTGGGGGGTTTAGGAGATACTAGGGATGCTGGCATACTGGGGTTTAGGAGATACTGGGGGTGCTGGCATACTAGGGGTTTAGGAGATACTAGGGGGTGCTGGCATACTGGGGGTTTAGGAGATACTGGGGGTGCTGGCATACTGGGGGTTTAGGAGATACTAGGGGTGCTGGCATACTGGGGGTTTAGGAGATACTAGGGATGCTGGCATACTGGGGGTTTAGGAGATACTAGGGGTGCTGGCATACTGGGGTTTAGGAGATACTAGGGGTGCTGGCATACTGGGGGTTTAGGAGATACTAGGGGTGCTGGCATACTGGGGGTTTAGGGAGATACTGGGGGGTGCTGGCATACTAGGGGTTTAGGGAGATACTAGGGGTGCTAGCATACTGGGGGTTTAGGAGATACTAGGGGTGCTGGCATACTGGGGGTTTAGGAGATACTGGGGGTGCTGGCATACTAGGGGTTTAGGGAGATACTGGGGGTGCTGGCATACTGGGGTTTAGGAGGATACTTTAGGAGATACTGGGGGTTTAGGAGATACTGGGGGTTTGGGAGATATACTGGGGTTTAGGGAGATACTGGGGGGTGCTGGCATACTGGGGGTTTAGGAGATACTAGAGGTGCTACATACTGGGGGTTTGGGAGATACTAGGGATACTGGCATACTGGGGGTGCTGGCATACTGGGGTTTAGGAGATACTGGGGGTTTAGGGGGTTGTGGAGATACTGGGGGGGAGATACTAGGTGCTGCTGGCATACTGGGGGTTTAGGAGATACTAGGGGTGCTGGCATACTGGGGGTTTAGGAGATATACTGGGGTGCTGCATACTAGGGTTTAGGAGATACTGGGGTGCTGGCATACTGGGGGTTTGGGAGATACTAGGGGTGCTGGCATACTGGGGTTTGGGAGATACTGGGGGTGCTGGCATACTAGGGGTTTGGGAGATACTAGGGGTGCTGGCATACTGGGGGTTTGGGAGATACTAGGGTGCTGGCATACTGGGGGTTTGGGAGATACTGGGGGTGCTGGCATACTAGGGGTTTGGGAGATACTGGGGGGTTTGGGAGATACTGGGGTGCTGGCATACTGGGGTTTAGGGAGATACTGGGGTGCTGGCATACTAGGGGTTTTTGGCAGGGAGATACTGGGGGTGCTGGCATATACTGGATACTGGGGTGCTTTTGGGAGATACTGGGGGTGCTGGCATACTGGGGTTTGGGAGATACTGGGGGTGCTGGCATACTGGGGTTTGGGAGATACTGGGGTGATACTAGGGGGGGAGATACTTTGGCATACTGGGGTTTGGGAGATACTGGGGGTGCTGGCATACTGGGGTTTGGGAGATACTGGGGGTGCTGGCATACTAGGGGTTTGGGATTTAGTAGGGATGCTGAAAAGTGATGAAGTACCTGATAATGACACACTGGTTCTCCATCTCTATCAACATGTTCCGGTACATGTTGTCTGTCAGGGCATACACATGAGGAGGGTTCTCGTACTGGGCCTGGAAACAACATGGCATACATCACACAAACATAGACGCAGCTCAATCTAGTTTCAGCAATAAAGTGTAGTGTTTCCGAAACACTGATCTCTGATAACCTTTTCCTCATTCATATCATACATCATGCAGATGTTTCAGTAACTCAAACAGCTATAGAAATGCATAGTTTCTGAAACCACGGTTCTCTGATAGTCATTTCAACTTTAAAGATCACATATACTCTAGGGGATACAAATACATAAATCACTAATTGGCATCGTTATAAATGAAACCCCATCATTGAAACTACTCATTTCGATCTTTAATTAACTTAAATCGACCTTTTTGACAACAGTGCACAATTCTCACCCACGAACAAAATTTCAATCAATCAGCAGCGCGTCTCTGTGACGTCATATGAGGAATAGATATGAGGGCCGATGCAGAATTTATGTACCTTTCAGGGGGTAAATTATCTTGTTTACAGGTTTGTATAAACCTGAAATCATGACAACAGTTGTGAAAAATTAAAGCTATATGTTCTCACAATCTACTGTCATTTAATTTTGTCTCCTGCTTTGCCTAGTTTCTGAGTTACAACTTGTTTTCATAGACGATTCTGTCAAAATTGCTTGGTGTCGCTAGGACTTATTTGTTCGAGCCAGACGCTAGTGATAGCAAAACGATGATCAGCCTCGCTCATCATGGTTACGGTTAATTTCTTCAACCTGAACAGTGCGACATTAAGAAGGGTGGATGCCCATCAGATGCAGTTATTTGAAAATATCCCCAGTACTTTGTGTCTGATTGTAATAAAGTATCAAAGCAGTGAGGGCTTTTCAGGTTTTCTAATGCCTGGATGGTATAATGACTGATCCAGATTGATCCCATTTCTGTGTTTTTTTACTTGATATTTAATCATGTCATGTAAAAATATGATGTCTATTATGCATGATATTAAAAATTGACATTTGATTTATATGAATCCGTAAACTAAACAATCCTACTTTGCCATTGCTAGAAGAATCTGAAAATATACTTAGGTAAATAGGTACATACAGTTTTAGCACACAGCAAATGGTTATATGTATTTCTTGTGCAACAATGAAGTTCGGTTCGTATTCTCAAAACAGTGTCGGCCCATAAGTTTTCACATGCAATTAAAATTGCATACAATACAGCAATTAATACTCCCTTGTTGTAACCTGTGTTAGGTGGTATAAACCTACACGTTATTTGTCATCATTCACTTGATGGTCAGTTAATGAATTTATAACAGGTATAATTAGTGGTAACACCACTTAGATTACCCGACAAAGGTTCCCATTTGGCATTTCTTGTGTCTGGAGTAAATACTCAACATTATAAACATCGATCGAAGGATTAACCGATGACATGCTCATTGATTAATTACTTTTATCTTGCACAGTGGATTTGTCAAAAGGTAGTGTTTATGTATGTAGATTTACTAATCTATACTGAATACACTCTGTCTTGTCTGTGTAAAAAAACAATGTTCTTCTTTCAAAGGATTAACCGCCAATACATTGATTGATTGCTCATTATTGGCTAATTAAATTACTTTTGTTTAAAGAATGGCGGACATTATGCAAGTAGTTGCAAGGTGTGCTATCTAGGGTGACCAATGAGACTATACACCAATGTGAAATACCTGAAACGATATATCACTCTTTCGTGTATTAGACTGTTAAAAAACACATCACTTGGAACAGCTGCAGATGAATGTCATATCACTCGTTTTTGTGGATATTAATGGATACATTCCTCGAACAAGGTAATAGTCTGACATTGTTCCCATAACTTTAGTCTTTATTCATTTGTCGTAGCATTCAGCAGAATCATTGTTTTCGCCGTGAAGTGTAATGAGACAGACAACATACACCAGGGCGTGTGTGCGAATTATGATTTACATTGGCAAACTATAAAATGTCTAGATATTACAGTCCTTTTATAAATTCACTATAAGTATAAGCAGATCGCCTGCTTTTTTAAGTTTCAAAATGCATACAAGTATGATAATAAACTAATGAGGATTATATATAAGACCAAATATAAAGACATACATTGACTAGTATCTACATACTGGTGAGTATTGTATTGCAGTATTGTCACTTTGACCCACACCTCGCTTCCGTGGAAGAAATCGTTACCCGGTATGTTACAAGTTGTGTCATGCAAAATCCTTTTGGTCATGATTCAAATACATATTTAACTACGAGTAGAAAGCAGTTTTGATTTTCTAACTTGATGAAAACAAACCATAATCTCATTAATTTAGCCCGTGACTTCACGATAATAAAAAATGGCGGCGCCCTGTCACGAACATCTGCCGTCTGAGGATAAATGCTATTTAGGTTTGTTTTCACCGAATTACAAAATCAAAACTACTTTCTACTGGTAGTAAAATATGTATTTGATTGATGGCCAATAGGATTTTGCATGACATAGCTTATAACATAACAATTTCTCTTGTGGAAGCGAGGTGGGTGTCAATATAATACTACTTACAATATTATTGTCACTTCGACCACAATCTCGCTTCCGAGGAAGACATCGTTATGTTTCAAGTTGTGTCATGGAAAATCTTTTTGGTCATTAATCATATACGTATTTTACTACAACTAGTAAATAGTTTTGATTCTTTAACTTCCGTGAAAACAAGTAAGCAATTCAAAACAACGCATCGATTTGGCATGTTTTCCTAGATGTCGAGAAATCATCAAAATGACGAGCTTGCTACACACTTTATATACAACTAACTGAAAATCCTTCCTCACATGACGTCACTGCAGTGCTCTGGCGACAGAGTTACGTAACCTGTCTGTGGTTTCGTTGGCGGGCAAGAGTGAAGCAGGCGATTTTTTGGCAACTTTTAATCGCTCGGTATTAATTAACCACAAGTTTTTTAAGAATGAATTTGGTGTTCCACATAAGACTAACCACAAATGTTTCATATGTAATGGTTAAAAGAGTACAAAAAAAACAAAGTTTATTTGTTCTTTCTTACATGTAACACAAATATTTCAATAATTTAGACAAGTGTCAACTGGGAAGAAAACATATTCTTATTAAAATTATGGCTATCTGACTTTTATTTCCTTCATTTACATGATTTTTTTTATGTGTTTAATTCTCCCAATAATTAAGACATTTTTATTTTCAACTGATCAATGATCATGATTGTTGTCGGACGCTGAACAAGCCCAGCATGTCATGCTGACATGTCGACATGTCAACCGAGAACAAAACGAGGAGGCCATGTTCCATGCTGTTGTCACAGCCAGCACCACAGGGGTTCAGTCACTGACTCATCACAAACAAGCTTAGGGGGCGTTTTGTACAATGGCACCCAGTTGTGCTGCATGTGACAACGTTTCCTTGGTTTCATTGGTTCAGTACGTCCATACAATGTTGTTTATCAATGCAAAGAGACTGGTAGATACAAGGATGTTTATTTCCATGAAATACTGTGATGAACATATTAATTTTATTAATAACATTTCTCATGACCATATTTCAGATGTAAAAGTTGTTCAACTATTCATGTTTAACTTTCTCAGTGTCCAAAACAGTTGGTCCTGCTACCTTGAACATTATTCCAATTATCATGATTACATGACAGCAAGTGAGCTAAATGTGTGATAATGGCTTGAATGTCTATAAAACAATGATGTAGTACCTGTTCTGAGAGTTGTCATGGATTCCTCCACGTGTTCTATGCATGTATTTCAGTCGTTCTACTTACCGCTCCCTGGTACCTGTTCTGAGTGTTGTCATGGATTCCTCCACGTGTTCTATGCATGTATTTCAGTCGTTCTACTTACCGCTCCCTGGTACCTGTTCTGAGTGTTGTCATGGATTCCTCCACATGTTCTATGCATGTATTTCAGTCGTTCTACTTACCGCTCCCTGGTACCTGTTCTGAGTGTTGTCATGGATTCCTCCACGTGTTCTATGCATGTATTTCAGTCGTTCTACTTACCGCTCCCTGGTACCTGTTCTGAGTGTTGTCATGGATTCCTCCACGTGTTCTATGCATGTATTTCAGTCGTTCTACTTACCGCTCCCTGGTACCTGTTCTGAGTGTTGTCATGGATTCCTCCACGTGTTCTATGCATGTACTTCAGTCGTTCTACTTACCGCTCCCTGATACTGTTCAATGTGTCTCTCCGTGTAGATGTTGAGCTGTTTGAATGGATTCACCGACACCAACACTGGTCCAATATATGCCTGGCACAGTCAAGGAAACATGGTAACCTGTAGACCATCTAACTCCCATGTCAACTATCACCAGTGACTACTGGGGCACCAGCATGTACCAGAACCCCAGAGCAAGCTCATGTGCAGCTTGCTACAAAGGAGGAGGTAGCATTAGGGCCTTAATGGTCCACTGAAAATGTCCAAGTTAGAAGTGCTGGTATGAAAAGTAACAGACATGTTTAAGTTGTTTACAGTTATCATTTGTTTTTCCTCAGATATGATCAAATTAAGTATGGCAAGGTGAGTGAAAAAGGATGATGTAAGTTCAACTGGAAATGTAAGTAGGAACAAGTGTGTGATAATTTATGCGTGAAAAATAATCCTGTCATGATTCACTCGCGTCTTCAGTGAATCTACCCGTGATCCTTTATGAATTCAATTCAGTGGTCACTAGAAATGAATATTTACTTACATTGTAAGATATTTTTTCACAATAGTGTGTTGTTAAGTAAGATATGGAAAGTGGAATATATCCAAGCCACACAGTAGTGTAACTTTTGCAGAGCATTTATCAACATCTATGAAAATCAGCGTAGCTGAAAGACTTGATTATGTTACAAATGCTTCCTAAACACCTGCAACAGTAACGTGGTTCTTCATAAAGAGGATGACTATTGACGAAGACTAACAGGATACAGAAGCCAAGGGAACTCTGTATCAGATATACTGGTAGACAACATGCTAGATATACTGGTAGACAACATGGTAGATATACTGGTAGACAACATGCTAGATATACTGGTAGACAACATGCTAGATATACTGGTAGACAACATGGTAGATATACTGGTAGACAACATGGTAGATATACTGGTAGACAACATGGTAGATATACTGGTAGACAACATGCTAGATATACTGGTAGACAACATGCTAGATATACTGGTAGACAACATGCTAGATATACTGGTAGACAACATGCTAGATATACTGGTAGACAACATGCTAGATATACTGGTAGACAACATGCTAGATATACTGGTAGACAACATGCTAGATATACTGGTAGACAACATGCTAGATATACTGGTAGATATACCGGTAGACAACATGCTAGATATACTGGTGACAACATGCTAGATATACTGGTAGACAACATGCTAGATATACTGGTAGACAACATGCTAGATATACTGGTAGACAACATGGTAGATATACTGGTAGACAACATGGTAGATATACTGGTAGACAACATGGTAGATATACTGGTAGACAACATGGTAGATATACTGGTAGACAACATGCTAGATATACTGGTAGACAACATGCTAGATATACTGGTAGACAACATGCTAGATATACTGGTAGACAACATGCTAGATATACTGGTAGACAACATGCTAGATATACTGGTGGTAGACAACATGCTAGATATACTGGTAGACAACATGCTAGATATACTTGGTAGACAACATGCTAGATATACTGGTAGACAACATGCTAGATATACTGGTAGACAACATGCTAGATATACTGGTAGACAACATGCTAGATATACTGGTAGACAACATGCTAGATATACTGGTAGACAACATGCTAGATATACTGGTAGACAACATGCTAGATATACTGGTAGACAACATGCTAGATATACTGGTAGACAACATGCTAGATATACTGGTAGACAACATGCTAGATGAATACTCATCAGTAAAAGTTTAATGCTGTAATATTGACGACTTTGGCTGGTCCAAATAACGCTGGTATTTAAAACCTTGGGTTTTCTGGAATTGGTCAACAACAACAGTCATTGATCAAGGTGCGTAATTTACACAGACTGGTCCCCAAATAAAGACCTACTCCCTTCCACAAACAAACATGGAGGTTTTCCTTGAACGTAATCAATAATACATGTCCTGAAAGATTGGAATAATCATCACTGCTTTTAAACTGTTACCCCTGATAGCAATGTTCGTTGGGCCAACATTGGCCAACGTAGGCCCAATGATGGCCAATGTTGGTCCAACATTGGTCCAACGGACATTGCTATCTGGGACAGTGCAATTATCAACAAAATTTATTACCGTGAAAACAAATTAAAAATGCTCTAATACATTGTATTACAATGCGTAATTATTTGCTCAGATGGGCTGTCACATTTGCTGATGAAACTTTGTGTGCATGACAGTCTGGTCATCAGGCATTTTAATACCGACCCACTTTTGGATGCCCCTCACACTCACAGTATCAGAAGAAGACTTTAAATGAATATATTCTTCGGTGTTTAATAATAAGGTATTGCCAAAGGGGTGTAATGCTGTTGGATCGGTTCGAAGGACAAGGCTACCACCTTGAAATAAGTAGCTCAGGTGAATAAAAGATGAATTGGTAGTAGAAATTTTGTATATATTTCTTTAACTACATGTCTCGACATATAATTTATGGCAAAATTTCAATTAGAATAATATTATTATGAGTGAGTTAACTTTTACGCCACTTTTAGCCATATTCCAGCCATATCACTGATGGGTTCACCAGCATTGGGTTTCACACTTTGCAACCATCTTGGGAATCGAACCCTGGTCCTCGGCATGACGAGCGAATGCTTTAATCACAAGGCTACCCTAACGCCGCATTTGAATTAGGAAAAAACATAAATTCAAGCTTTTCTTGGGCATTGGCAAAATATGGTATACCAGTTCTTCAAAAACCTATATAATGCCAATGCTGTACAATAACTGGAGAATTATATTGTAAAATATGAGGTCATCTACCCATCCTACTTTCCAAATTAGCAGTGGGAGGAGAAACTTCACATATTTCTGCACTCACATCCAAAGAACATTGCCAAATGACTTTAAACAAGCTAGAAGCAAGTAAACAGTGAATCAGGCAAATGTCATAACCCACACAATACCTCCCTGTCACACAAGCAGTCATATAGGGTCTGACATTTCCATGGAGCCTGAGCATTAGCCATGATAACTGCTTACAATCTCACATGCCTCTGTGGTAAGTCCGAGAGGCTTGATCCCGACACTGCCAGGTCAGGTGTTCACAGAGTATATACAACATGGGGCCTCACTCTATCATCACCATATTTCACCATGTTTGAGGCCTAATGAAGACAATTAGCTAATTAAAAGGGGCACATGTTTGTTTTGTAACGCAACACTCAGCATTATTTCAGCTATGGCAGTATGTAAATAGTCTCTGACCAAACAACCCAGAGACTGACATTACGAACATCAGTCTGGGCTTTTGCGACTGGAGGACATGCACTGCCAAGTGTGTTCCTGAAACAGCCTAGAGACATAATCAGGGTGAACCACGACACAATCCACGATCAAAATTCATGGGATCTACTGATCGAGTTGCACGCTCTTCCATTCCTGGGACATCAATTATGTTTATCAACTTCCATTTATTGCTTCACAGACCTAATAATCCTTACAAACACACAAAGCTTTCTGACGTCTACACCCAAATGGTATTATCTTATAACACTTGAAGCAACAACAAGTAATAGCGAGTCCTTCATTAGAATTTGATGTTGTTTTTGTAATATGCCATCAGCTTATAGGAAGTAGTGTTGATAATTAGTTAAATCATCGAAAATAATTGGTTAGTGTCATTATCAAATATTCCTAGTTATGTTTGTTAAAACATGTAGTTCTTTGGTTTTTTGCACAAAATGTATTTGCAAATCTAACATCTTTAAAGGATGACTAGTATGTTAGTCTGATTATTTCAATTAATGGCACCACCACTAATAGGAAGGATAATAGGTGTCATAGATTCAACAAGACAGAGGTGGATCCATCAACAAGTGATGAGAAAGTGTGGCATAACAGGACAAAATGTTGCATGTTTCAAACTCTCACCATAGTTGGATTGTTTCCATGGAAATGTCGAGGAAATGTCAGTCAACAGATAAAACTACCTCAGCTCATTGATATGATCCCTTATCAAACAAGAATCCATCAGCGTTGCTACTTCCTTCATAAAAATGTAAATAAACAGAATTCTCCCAAACCTGAAACTGAATGCTGTATATGTACATACAAATTTAAGTTTAAACCATCAAATGAACTATTTCCTTGAACATAACAAGACAAATACAAAAGTGAAACAAAGTATTGTGGCCAGCCCTTGTGTTGGTACAACGAGGCAAAGAATTTGGAATTAGCACGTAACTTGTTTTCCCATGATGCCTTGAAACAGAGCCAAGAGCACTAATCATCCCTTGACGTGTGGTCCAGTTGACAAGCAGGCTAAATAGCCAGCCCATGTTGGACAAAAGGAAAGTGAAAACAAATGTTATCTCAAACCATGCCGACAGCCTGTTTCGTTTGTTCTCCAAACAAGGGACAATTTTTCACCTCTGGTTTACAATACATAGAAATGAAGCCAATATTGACATGAGGGCAATGACAGATTACAGATAATACATACACAAAGAAGAGTTCGGGCAGGTTGTAAACAAATAGGCTGAAGCTTGTTTCATTTCCATGTAGATTCTCTAACTAACACACACTAACAGTCTTCTGTGGGGGGCACAAAGGCGTCTACATCTACAATCTGTAGCAGAAGACTGACTGACTGACTGACTGACTGAGTTTAGTTTTACGTCGCTCTTATCAAAATTCCAGCAATATCACGGCGGGGGACACCAGAAATGGGCTTCATACATTGTGCCCATGTGGGGAATGGAACCCGGGTCTTCGGCGTTACGAGCCAACGCTTTAACCACTAGGTTACCCCACCGCCCCTGTAGCAGAAGACAATACGGGTGTTAGAGGTACTAGTTGTGCATGACACGAAATTGAATAGGCCAATGAAGTGATTGAGTGAGTGAGTGAGTATGGTTGCTTTCAGTACTGGATCTGTACATGTTGTGGTAGGGCATGACACGAAATTTAGTCCGTTGAAGTGAGTGAGTGTCCCTTGCTGTGATATTGCTGGAACATTGCTATAAGAGGCGTAAAACCCAACTCACTCATTCTGATGACACATGCAGTCTCTTAGGT